TTGCAGAGAGACACAGGATTGGCTGCGGCCAGGTGGTCCAATATGTCTGCGCCCTAATCCGACGCCACACCACACCACACTCCCTCCCCCTCAGCATCTGGCTTGGTCCACCGCACTGTTGTTGATATCCAGTGTTGGTAAAATATCCAGTCAGACACTCCCCGCACCCCACATCTGGCAGGATAGTGGCCCATGCGAATAGTTGACGAGGGACTTTGCTCTGGTAGACTTGCCACACCACACCACACCACAATACAAGAGATGTCATATGTTTCTATCTTGTTCCTGCATCCACCCTGGTAGATGTCGTTCTCGCCATCTGTAGAAGGCGAAAAAGTTGCTAATCTTTTTCCGTTTGAAGTCTTTTGTAAATTTTTGAACGATCTGTCTTCATTGACTAGTACAAAAAGGAAAGAATCTGCTCTCGTTTCCTTCGTACAAAGTTGGTCATCCAGATATGAAGACCTTGTTAATCCTGTTGGACCGGTTGGTGGGAGTCGTGGTAGTTTATACCCAGCTCTACGACTTCTCATCCCTTCTACTGATAATGCCAGGATGGCATACTGTATAGGCGAGCAAACAATGGCTAAGCTGCTTATCAAGGCATTTGGTTTGCCTCCGAAAAGCTCCGCTGCCATACAAATGCTGGATTATTGCAATCATTGTAGGTTTTCGAATGCCAGTGATAATGACCTGGCTAGTGCCGTTTACCCATTATTAAGAGACCGTTGTGTGTCCGTGAGCACTTGCAACTTAAGTGTATGAGATTTGTTTTCTCTTAGGCTTTTCTTTAGAGCGTTAATCGCGAATTAGATGCTTTGAGTGCTTTTTCATCTGAAAAGAGTAAAACGTCTTTGTTAAGTCGACTTGTGCGAAATTTTACAATCGATGAATTGAAATGGTTTGTTCGCATTGTCAGTCGGCGGTTTTTGCCGATCGGCATGGGAATCAGTTCAATTCTCTTCTGTGTTCATCCGAATGCTCCAGTTATTTGGGAATCGACCCAGGTACTTATTTTGGCTCATTTTAAAGCACTTATATTTTGCCCCTAGGACTTGTATACACTTTGCCAGCGGATAGCCTTCATTGATCCATTGGTGTCTTCAATCGTTTACAGTCGTGTTGTCACTCACGAAATACATCTCTTCACTGCCTTCAAACCCATGCTTTGTTCACGAGCCGGCAGTGTTGATGAAATCTGCACAGAATATCTAAGGTACTTCTCTGGCACTCAAGACATGGGTCTTTGTCTCGAGGTAAAGTTTGATGGGGAACGGGTTCAAGTAATATCAATCCTCTACATGTTACTGTGTATTTACATAAATCAAATTCGACTTATCGCTACTGGTCTCGCAGTGGTCGTGAATGGAGTTCAAGTTACGGCAAGAGTGGTGACTTATCTCTTGGAAGTCTGACCTTTCGACTTCACGCAAATGGTTCCGCATTTTCTAGTCACGTTGTGGATTGTATTCTTGATGGCGAGATGGTCGCTTTTAATGGCTTCACTGGCCGATTCGTCACAAAAGCCATGGGTTTTGATGTCAAGCGTCTTGGTGTTAACAGTACAAGTACTATTGGAGCGACTGACGCCCTGCCGTGCTTTATTGCCTTTGATGTTCTTTACTTGAATGGGAGAGTAAGTGTGAGCCTATATATGGTCTCTATATAGCCTCTATGGCTGCACAGTTTTTCGATTTCACTACCTGATTTAAGGTGTAGTATCTCCATTAGGACGTTTCTTGTGTTTGTCTTTGTTAACTGACTTCTCGTTTAAGATTTATATCCACGCTTCTCTGTATCTAATCAATTGTTGCAATTGCATTCGATCTTCCTTGTGATAGTCAACCCGTACAACCAGAGGCGATAATTCTCCCGTAATTCACTTCGATATATCATACAATTTGACTACGTGTATTTTATGAATTTTTAAACTTAGGGATGTTTTCTTTTTGGTGTTTTTTCCGCGTCATTTTAGCCCCTATTGGAAGTACCTCTTTGTCAACGTAAGCGAATTCTTCTAACTATTTTTTCCTCGCTTACCCCAACCAGTAAGGATGTTTGTTTGACAAAGGAAAACTGTTGTGTATCGACCAAGTTTAGTGATGGCGAAGTTTCCTTGATCGGTAATACAGTTCTAGAGGATCGGTCCATTTCATTACATACAGTTGTAGAAGGAGCGCTGTATGTGGGTCATTTCGTATTCGCTCAATTAAACAGGGTATGTTACTCTTACCATTCAATGTTTCTTCTACTTAGCAGACCACGTAGTTCTGTCCTCTGTTTAATTATCGACTTTGAATCCCATATCGCCAAGGTCGCATTCGAGTTGCAGTGGCATGACTGCATCAACTGCTTTCGGAGATTTAATTAAGCATGCATAGTCATTGCCATTGTTGTTACGTTAGGATCTCAGTTTATTTTGAATATGATGGATTTTAAAAGGGACGTATTTAATGTGTTGGCAATTAAAACGTTCTCCTGTTACACGGAAATGTTGACAAGGGAAAGCCTTGTGTTAACCTCTGTAATAAGAACCTATCGAGCCTTTTCCTAAAGACCCAAATCTGTGCAGGTTCTGAACATTCTCAAATCGTCCGAAGCTGGTTAATTCGCCTCCGATCTGTAAATACGAAATGTCTATTTTTTGAGTACACAAAACCTGATTCCTCATTATTTAGATATTTTCTTAATGTACAAAAACAATCTGAGCATTTCTTTTGCAAATTTATGCTTACACCTGAACATCATTCATTCTCGTGCTCCCGGTTAGGTTGATGTTTTTGTTTAAAGGATATTGTTATGCGCTACTTCGAAACTTGTTTGGAGAATGGCGCAGAAGGGTTAGTAGCAAAGGCGACTTCAGCCATCTACGTACCAAACGGACGCGCGCATTCTGGCTGGTGGAAATTAAAGCCTGGTTATGTGCTTGGCCTCTGTACTGATCTTGATTGTCTTGTCGTTGGTGCTTACTTGGGTCCCTCAAACTCACCTCATAGAATATTTTCCTCTTTCCTCTGCGCTGTTTTTAACGACGATGAGAGAGGTGGTGATGAGGTGAGAACAGAGCTGGGCAATGTTTTGACGCCTCTTCCATCATTTCTAACCTTTTGCCGGGTAAGTTGGTTTTGTAAGTCACCTTCCGTTGATCCTCTGCTTCGACCACGTTAATGCCACGCTTATGACTATGGCAAACGCATTATTTTTATTCTCGATTCGAAACGGTTAGATTAAGGTCTTCAGAGCTAGTTTGGAACAATCAAATTTACTTGTACAGGTCGTGGCGATACTGCAATGACGTAGCCAGATTTTCTACTTAAAGTTGCTGGCTGGTTTTTAGATTACGTCTGTTTTACAATAATTCCATCAAAATCCATTGGGATGTTATCGAATTGGCAAAAGAAGGCCATGTGCCGCTCTCCAAGTGAGCAAAAATAGTCATTTTGAGTAACAGCGGTATATGTTTGGTTCATCTTGTCATTATCTCAGTTGGTCGTTGTGGTGCCATTCTGCGCTCTCGAGCTTTTTCCAAGATTGATCGTGGTTGTGCGAAATCCCATAGCTAATGTCGAGTACCCTCTTTGGAGTGCTTGAAGCTTCGTAATTTAAGTCTCCAATGGCAGTGCGATGACTCTCACCCCGTTTTCTATTAAGCGATAGGTATTCAGGTGTGGGAGTTTCTATCTGTTTAATTCAGTAGCTACTTCGTTTGCTACCAATAAGAAGCACATTTTGAATCCCATGTTATTCGGGATTTGTAACTTGGTCCGATTCCTGTACCAGGAAAAATGACTCGAAGCGATCCTCTGGCGATTTCTTTAAACTGATCAGCATCATTTTCCGTGTGTTTTCTCAAATCTTAGATACTTTCCTGGTTGCACTGTGAACTCAAATTGCACTAATGCACTTTTCCGAACCACAGATGTCTCTTTTATGCGTAACTTTGCAGTAACGCTTAGCGGGTGTGTTAGTTTTCGTCTATACAAGCCGCCTTAGTTCTCAATCGTGTCACGCAGGTGGTTTGACATTATTGGGAAGCGAGGCTCAAATTCTTCGTGTGACAGCATACCAACCTGTTAGTTTCACTCCCTCTTGCGCACAAGCCTCCTTTGATGGTGGATCCAGCGGTCAGTGTTGTTTCATGGTCGGTTGCTATACATGCAGTTAAATCATTTTAGTGTGAAGTAAGTTCTGGGAAACTGACCCCCAAGAGATGGATTACGGAGGTTTTAGCTGTTAAGATCGGGAACATATCAGTTTTCCTATTCAATGGTTGGAACCCAAGCCAGGAGCCAAATAAACAGGCTGGTGGATCGGTTGGAATGGTCAAATCAGTGCATCATGTCAGGTAATAAATGAGTCCGTTATTTTTAAGGTGTTAAATGTGCCTCAAGGTAACTGAGGCCGCGCTAGGTTTTTTTATAGCCTCGAGTAATTGCCAATATCCTGTTATCCACTTTTTAATGACGTCCGGACGTTTTGGGCGTCTTACCAATGAGCATTTTCATAACTAAATATGTCGCCATTCCTGCGGGGCGCTATAATGTCGGGTAAATTGAAGAGTAAAGCTTGGAACTGTTATGGGCTCCAACATGTGGTCTTGAACCACGTCGGGGCCACTGAATTAACCCTGGCCCGATTACGCTTGTCTCATGCCCGCGATGAAGAAAAAGACCGGAGAGGACGCGGACACAACCGTTTACTTCAGAGCTCAAGCACGTTGGTGTCGTGTGTGGGGTTCGCGCGTGTGTATTAGCTCGGATGTGTGTTATACATGGGCTAACATCGAGACCTAGGTGTGGGGATACTCCAAGATAAATTTTAGTGCTAATGAAGGGGGAGTTTGGAATTCGCGCGGCTGGTGACATGCTGCGACAAGAGGAACCCTGTGTGGGAGGCGGAGCGACCGGATTAAGGGGCTGAATAAACACTATTCACGACAGAACTAATACCAGTCAATACGCTCGATTGTTTTTGCTGCCCTCAGCCGACGACGAGGGCATTTTGCTCATTTTTTTCTAACGATGTTTGTTACTGATTGGAGCAGGTACGATTTTGAAAAAAAAGATCTAATAACCGTTCCCTAAACTTGTGTGTTGACCGAATGCACACAAATTATGGTGATTCATCTTTCGGTAGACACTTTAGCCACTGTTTTGGCAGTTAAATAACGAAATAAAAACTGAACAACTCAAGTCACTAACTAAAGGAAGCTTGTGCCCACAGTCCGGTCTTTTCGTTCTGCGCATGATCAGATTTCGCATCAAGTGATTTTCTTGCTAAACAATGTAAAGATGATTATTCTCAGTTTTGAGGCCTAGGCGAACTCCGGTCTTGTCTGCACTTAATGAATGCAACACTTAGTTGTAAACCAAAAGACATCTTAAATGACGTGACTTTAGGGTGTTTGCTGACTTCCTCAGTGCTCAAAAATATTCGTGAACTCACTTTTGGTAAATATTTGCGTGGAATAGGTACTGACTATATGGCAGTAGATAATAGACAGTCAAGTTAACTGTAGTAAAAACTGATTATCCTCAATATTCATCCGGTCATTTAAGAACCCTTCGAAACACGAAAACGCAATCTTCGCCTGATTAATGAGCTGCTAGTATGTTTGGTGTTTTTTGGTTGAGAAACGTTTCTCGATGTTTGTCGTTTATAAAATGGTTGACCAAAGATGATTTTGGTGAAACTCGTAATTATGTTCCTCACGCAAATTTACTAACTATTGATTTGACCTCAGCATATTTCCCTAAAAACTAGGTAAGCATATTAAAACGGGATCAGCTTGTCGGAATTAACAATCGTTTGAAACCCTACTGGCGATATTTTGATCGAAGCAATGTAAACTGTGGCGAAACCAGATGGCTTCGTGTCTCGAATGAACGCCCTGACTTCTGGATTCCGCCTCGTCACTCTGTTGTATTCCAGGTAACAATTTGTCTGAGGTCATGTTTTTTGATCTGGGGTAGTTTGTGCAAATCAAGCAGTAGCACGGATTACGTTTTTGGACTGTTGGCGAATTATCAATTTTTAGATACCAGCACAGTATTTTTGCTTCCGTAATACATTAACGTCTTATTCTTGTAGGTCCACGCTGCAGAAATAATGCCGAGTTCCTCATACGCGGCAGGTTTTACTCTTCGATTTCCACGTGTTACTACTGTTCGAGAAGATAAAAATTGGCAAGACGTTATTACTATATCGGAAGTCAGAGAGCTCATTAAAAACGGCGGCGTAAGTATTGTAAACGGCCAACTGTCTTATCTTTATGCCACCATATTTTAGTGTCGTTGTATGATATTTATCACTAACATAATTTGTCATGCGCATTTTTCTTTTTCACAGGGTAAATTGGTTTCTAGAAAGACATGCCGCCAGACATCTAAAAATGAAGGCAGAAGAGAGATTCATTCAGGAACCTCACGCCATGCTCAAACCCCAGATACAAACAGGATCCCCTCACAGCGTACCACACTACACATGCATCCCAAAATTCCTTATGATGTTCGGTATTGTTCCACGAAGGTAAATTCGGTGTTCTACTTCTGTTGCGTTTTTCAATTTTCTTATTAATTTTCCTCTGCCAACCATTCGTTATTTTAGGAAGGTGTTAAGTCGTTCGTCTTTGCAGGCGTCGAATTTTGTCTCTGCTTATCGTCTGAGTTCTCCGGTCGAGCTCCAATCTTCACAAAAGTTGATATCGAAAATGCCATTCTTAGAAGACATGGCAAGTTGGTCCAAAATCCTGGGCCGAATACGACTTATGTAATCGCTGATCGGATCACAGCCAAGGTTTAGTTCTTTTTCGAAACACTTCATAATTCACTGTGTTTATTTTACAGGTTTCGAATTTAATTGAAGCAACTATCCAGGGGAAGGCCCGCGGTAAAGAGGGCGGGTATGATATTTTGAAACCTGACTGGCTACTTGAGTGTATTCAAAATGAACATCTATGCCCTTTTGCTGCCGACCACGTGTTTGCATTACGTCCTTCCAGTCAATCATGCATTGATTTATTATATAAGTCAGGCAGCAGTAGCAGCAGTTCCATTAAATCGATTACAACTCATAACACAGTCTCAGGATCTTCTTCGACGATTGCCGAACTTGAAAACAATGCATTCATGTCTGATGTTTTTCGGGACAGTTTATTGGAGTTCGTTACGTCGGATCGCCTGAAGGATGAGATATTCCCTCGAATGATTGAAGATGGGACCGTTATGGACAGTGTGAATTCTAACTACATGGTAAGGAATGTCATATCGACCACATGCGCTTTGACGTTCGGTTTTGTGTCGAAATGTTCAAATTTTCAATAATATTGAAACCATCTTAAGCTTGTACTTCAAAATGGACTGCAGCGTTGCTTTTACTGCAACAATTCAGTTCCTCCGGCTTTATTCTAATTTAACTCGGTCATTTTAACGTACATGCAAATTGTTCGGTCTCTTGCTTTGCTTTATATTGATAGATGTGCACTTTCTATCTAGTTTTTTCGTCGACTATCAGCGAACGAGTATACGAATTTCTTGAAAGACAGTGGTTTCTCCTGTGTAAGGCTACCCCTATGTAGCACAAGTTTTGTCTTCTTTGGCTCTCAACTGTTCTCTCCTCAACTGGAACTTCTAATAACCGACCTTCGATCTCTGCAAGCTACCGTAAATGGATCATTTTGGGATGCCTCATGTCTAAATCTCAAGAAAACGGGCATTGTTACTCACCTAATTATCGATGTATGTTGAAGTATTTGTATTAGGGATTTCTGCTCTACCATAATTCAAATTTGGTTTTTTTTTCAGACTACTGAAAGTGCCTCGAACGCCAACGTTCAAGAATTCCTTAAAGCAGTGTGTGAATCAACTGGACAATTAACAACTCCCGTTGTTGCGACCATTGACTGGTTAATTGGCTACGTTACTCGCATGGTCCGGTTATGCAAACATAAAAATTGAACATTTGACTCTATGCTTCTCGGGTTTTCGTGTAGATTATTTGAATGATCAAGTGGCCAAATTCGACAAGTAATTAAAGCATTTTACTAGTTGACTTTGAGATGGTTCCGTGCTAAGGGTTCGGCTGCATGGCGTGGTTGGTCCGAACCAAAATTTGAGCTGTAAGTTAGGTAGGGCTGGCGAGGTCTAGTTTGTTCGGCAGCTCGACGTTATGTACAATTTATGCTTAACCAACGTGAAACAGTGCATCAGGAATTTCTTCAGTTATACTGTTTGAGCCTGACAAATTTAGTTTCCAGTTTGGGTACGCTTATATCATTATTAATTAATATTTAATAAATGAAATTTTTTTGGCTAGAATTTAGAAAAACAGCTTTGTTTATATTTGCGTTAGTATTTGCGCACGACTTGATGCTGTTGGTTTTGCAAGTTTTTTTCGTAGATGGAGTTGGAAGTGCATTCGAACGATAGTCTAGATATTCAAGTTAATACGTACATTAATGAAGGCCGATTTCACGTAGCATTATTGTCTCTTTGTGCCCTGATTGCATGGGTCATTTATATATTTTTCTACAATTCGCGTCTTTTGGGATTCTTAACATCTTTGATTCTGCGAAAATTTATAAGGAATGGCTACGTTAGAATAGGTTCCTTTTTTTGTAACGTATATTTGTAGGCTCGATTTCCATATCAGTCGTGGGCGGCAGAGTTATGATACGTGATTTGGTTTACCTAACTGAAGACTACTGTGTTCGTTGTTGCTACATTGTGGTTGTGTTTAATTACTGGACGCCTTTTGATCCTAGGAAAAAAAGTACGCTGCGCTCTTGTTGTGATTCATATGTAATATCTGTGCTATCCTACTACCTTTTACTGTTTTTAAAGAACAACATGGCTATGTTTCCAGCCGACGACTTCATGTGTACTTCTATGGATTCGATATACACATTTTCAATCGAACCTTGCTATATGCTGAATTACAGAAAATATTTGATACAAGACCTGCAGGTGGCTGTTCACCATCTCAACTTTCAGCGTCTAAACTTAGAATTTCCTCCATGCACCACAACCAGTCTTCCGCAACCGAAGATAAGCAGCTTGATCACCAGTAGGCTTTTTCCTGTGATCAGGTCTTCGTTTTTTTATTTCGAATAGTTTTAATCGTTGCTTATGAATCCTTAGCAGTGTTATGAGAGTTCCTTTTTTGTTTTAAACGCAAATGTATTATATCTTGTATGTTTCTAGAAATGTAATGCAGCATGATGATACGTTGGGTTGGATATGGACCAAGTTTGAACTTCTCTTCCCAGTTGTCAAGTTCAACTTCGAAATGGTAACCCACTAATATGACTTAATGATTAAATAGTGTGCTATTTTTTATTGAACCATTGGTAATTTAGAGATGTGGCGTTCTTTTCATTTCAGTCAAAATTGTGTTTCGGAAACCAATTAATTCCGCGTGCTTTCGTGCTTACCTGCCAAAAGGCCCATGGGATTTACACACAAGAAGACCCAACTTGGCAATTCGATAAATATCAACACTGGGCCTCTTTCGAGTTCCAACACCTCATCGGATCTTTTGTACCCGTCTCTAAGTATTCCGGTCACTATGTTGTAGAAGAGTAAGTCGCTTTCTCCAGTACCTCACAATACTTTATTTGAATATAATCATACACATGGTTCTTGTTCATTTTTGCAGGCCACCACAAGGAGCCGATGTATTCCACGTTTTTAATCTTGGACGGGGAAAAATAACTTATAAACAAGACCAACCAGGTTTGATTAAATTTCTTCTTTTGTCATTAATAACAAGTAGCCATTTGCTTTTTAAGCCAACGCTTATAATTTTGCTCTTTTTTTGTTCTTGTTATTGGGTAAGCTTTGTTTTTGTTCATGAGAAGTTATGACTTAAGAAAAAATGCTTTGAAGAGTCAATATTTTTAAGGTGGTGGTCACGCACTGTCTCCCTCTTTTTTTAAAAAAAAAGAAAATAGGCGTCTAAATTTATTTTTAGGTCTGGTCTCATTAGAACCTGAACAGGTACAACTTCGTGGAAGCGATATATCTGTGCTCCGGACATTCCCGAAATGGGAAATGGCGATCAGTGTAGAAAAAGATTTTCTTTTAGCCTATGGACCCTGGGCGGATCGCCAGCGGTAAGTTGCTTACCTTTTTATTATCCAGCATTTTACTGCTATCAATATTTCTTTGCCTCGCTTTAGGTCCTAAGTGGGGCATTCCTTTTCTTACTTCCAGCCTTTCATGCTTGTGGAAAGCTTTTTTGCCCAACTATAATGAGCTTACGACCTGGTATCCATTTGGCTCATGTTGTCTGAAGTGTACCTATGCGTCTAACCGATTCTGTGTTTTGGGTATAGCATATCAACCTACTATTGAACTCATATTACAGCGCACTGTGAAGGGGAATCTTGAATTTGGTTGCGATTTTAAACGATGCCCACATTACATAAGCTGTCTGATTCTTGATGCCAAAAGCGTTAGTCCTCTATTTTTTTCTGCATTCAGTTCTAGTTTATTGAAATGTTAATATGTCAGACACAACTGCTTTAGCGTGCATTATGACATTATTGGATATATTTGGAGGTCTATATGGGCCGTTATTTTTCTTAATATCAATAGAAATTACGCAAATGCCACCTTGACCAGTTGGTATTTCGTTGTAGGGAAATGCTATGGAAATTCTTTTTCCCGGCCTCCTATCGTTCAGCCGAGGTGACCCCACCAGCTACCGTTGGGCAACTTCGTGCAGCTCAAAAGTTCACCCTCGATGTCAGCAGCTCAACTACAGTTCAGCTCGACTTTTGGTTCACCCGCCGCAAAAACTGCTCAAGTGTTCGTTTATTTTCTTGAAACCTCATTGCTCTGTTATATTTTACGGACGTTATGAGTAGGACTCGGTCGTTTTTATGTTTAAAACTGTCGTGGGACCATTGCCACCAGTTGTGCTTACTCTCTTTTATCGAAGCGATGTTTTTTACTCCTGGCTACATTGGATCAAAACCCCTTGTCGCCGTTGAAATGAAGGTAGCAGTAATTGGCATGTGCCAAAACTGGCTTTGAAATATTAGGCTGGTGGTAGTTTTGACCAGCTTGATTGGATCACCTGAGGTGATTTTGTTTGCGACCTGACAACTAAAATTTAATCTGTTACAATGCGCAAATGAAAACGTTTTAATCTATACTTTTAATATTAAATCACGAATTTCGGACCCTTCCTGAATCTTGACGTTGACTAAATTTATGAGGCTTATTTTACTAAACTGCATATTTTATCAACTGACGTACTTATTTGTTGTTTCTTTTGTCATAGAAATTTTCCATTCATGGCGGACCAGATTCGACATTTAAACTATCACTACCCTGGGTCACAGGCGAAGATGGCTCCACGACTAAATTGGCTCTGAGTCTAACTAAAGGTGGTGTTGTAACTGATTGCCTATGGCATGACCTTCTCGCGTCTTCTCAGCTTGATGTTATTTTGCGAATCCACTACCCACGGGTCTGGAATTCTTTGCAGACTTGGACTTTTGATCTCGATGGCAAAGAAGCTATATTTTGCATGCTCTTTACTCAAAAAGCATACTTCAAGGGTGCGTTTGCATTCGTATTAGTTTTGTTTCTTTTTGTAGCCCCTTCTTGTTGACTTCGTTCTTCCCCCTTTCCATCTTATCGGTTTTATGCTCGCGTCATCTCTTTGTTAAATTGACCGTCTTCGTCAACTTGTCTATTCGGGCACACACATACTTTCGAGTTACGTCGGTAGTTTCAGCAGCTGCCAAATTACGTGTTGATCTCTGTCTATTATTTTGTCTCGCGCAGCTGTCTGTTCACAAAGTGAGAACGAAATCACCACTTGCCCTATCCCTCAAGAATATTTGTATTGACGTTTTGTAGTCATATCAATGCAAGCATTGTTTGTTTAATGGTATGTGGGTTAGGTAAACATTTTTGGTCTCAGTGTGATCTATGGTCTACACCACGAACTATTTATTTCATGATCAATAAATCACACTAACGATTCTTATTTGTTGATGTTGTTTGTGCACAAATTATTTTATAGAAGCTTCACCCATTCATTGGTATCTCATTTGTAATTTGAGGTATTTGTGGTTCTCTTCGAGTTATAATAAATAATTACATTTAATTACTTATTTATTTTTAATTTTTGGCTTTTCCCCTAATTTCAGCGTTCTTTGATGATTGGTCCAGTGGATCTAGACAAGATATAATTTTCTTCGTTCCCTATATCTGTAAATTCAATATTTCTGCGCGACCGTTTGAATTAAGGATGCTTGCAAATGACTACAATTGGGTCACCCCTTCAGCTGAAAACGGTAATTTATTGGTATACTTTAAGGCCATGCAGTACGTGTGCTCGCCTTACGCATCCATTTGCCATCCGTGCCCACAGCATCGGACAGAATAAGCTATGATTTACGTTAATTTCTGTTTTTGTGACCATCTAGTCGCGAATTCACTTCAATGCTGTATTGCCTAATGTCCCCGACGTTTTAGGTGTATAGGGCTAGTTATCTTGCAGTAAGTTGCAGACATCTGATTCAACGGCCAAATTTACCTGCATTCATGATCTTCATGTAGTTAAGACGTTTTCTTGAACATTAACATTTCATATGCGGCATTAAGCTACCTTCGAACCCAAATCAGTAGTCCTTTAATCTTCTTCCTGTACTTCAATTCCATACCGCTGTCGTTATTTCGCATGCGCTTACTCAACGAGGACTTTCGCGCAGTTTAATTTTTTTTAGTTAACTATCTGATAACATGAGTCCTCTACCTAAGGCGAAGAGGAAAGGTTTTTAGTTGTTCCTTAGGTATGCCCAGAACATTTCGTTACCATATACCTAAATCGTCCACCCCGCTGTACTGCCTTTTTATCTTACTTGATGTCTTTTTCTGTTACGCAGCGTTTGTGTCTTTTCGTATGAACCGGTTCAACTTCGACTTTGAACTGCCATTTGTTGACTTTCTTCCTACGTCCGTGCCAATCAAATTTGACATTAAAGTAAGATTTTATCTTTAGTCCTTGCAATAACGTAGCTGTGTCAAACCCCGCCATTGCTCGCCCAATTGTCCTCGTGCAGGCAATAACGAATACAATTTACCAAATTTGTTGTAATTTCCCTCTCCGTTTTATTTTCAGGCATAAATTCGGTTCATGAACTGCGGTTATAATTTTGCTCGGGATTCGGGCGGCGTCCTCGGTAACATGATCACAAGCACTTAGTCTCATTTATTGATGGTGTACACTTGGCTTTCACTTAAAAGTCGGGAAGGCTGTAATTTTTTTCATTTTTGGGTGACCAAATGATTTGCTATTGGTTGTCGTCGTTAGAAATTGGCGTTTGAAATGTACACGAAAAATATGCGTTTGTGATTTGTACCACAAGCACCTGTGCATACTGTAGCAGCCAAATAGGCTTGATCTTGTTTACGAAGTCGAAAGCTCACTTCATATTCAATAAAACTAAGAGCTGGTCGTCGTGTTGAAGTCTGCAAAGGGGCATTTACGTTTGGTCATCATAAGAAGTCAACCTCAAAAAGAATGACCAACAATAACTACGGGTTTGTAACTTTCTGCCGTTTTGTCTAGTAACCCTTTCAGCTATCCCCTTATTTTCGTCACTAATGTGTTGACATATTAATATGTTCGTCTGCTCCTTTTGTCATGATACGATGTCTATGTGAATGAGATATTCGTAGGACATTTTACATCATCCGGTCCATTTAGGCTTCGTCTGCGTCCTTGTGCCTTTCGCTTCCTGAAACCAGTACACTTCTCTATATGCTGAAGGAATTGCACGAAAATCTCAAACTGGCCGATCGTAATTGCAAGCCGTTAAAAAGTAATCCCTTCCAAATTATCGAGGAGACTCTTCCGAACCCCAGCGGTGATGCCGAATGCACACAGTCAGTGATGTCTTCGATTATTGCTCAGTGTTTGCTGGTTTTTATCACAGATTTCTCCAAACGTATCTTTAAAGAGCCATCACGTTTACTCAATAAGTGCTCTAACTTGAAATTTCGAAGTTGGTCCATCTTAATACCTTTATTACAGCACTAGCACTTTCTAAAGCTTACAATCAATTATAAATTATTATCCTGGAATCGTCCGCAAGTGGCCCCAAGCTTGTTTTCCAGGTGGTCACTTTCCACTAGGGTGTTCTGGCTTTAATAACCCTCTATTTTTCATTGTAAATATCCGTTCATTAAATTGTTTACTTTCCATCTAGTAAAAATGTTGTTGTTCTAGGGAAGCTAGGTTAGTTGGTGCAACAATTGTCCTTTTCATTCTAAAATTTCTCTCTAGTGTTTATTAATAATTCGTCTCATGTTAGTTTCCGATGTTGCATTAACCAATTTTTACCAATTCCAATGTCACAGTGTTATGTTCACAAGTATTTCCTCAGTCAGGGCTTTCATTGTTTTAAATAATTTTAGAAGCAGACATTACCTATGGCTGTTTTCATCGGTGTTATTTTTTTCCTTCTTTTTGTTTTAAGGATATTCAGCAAATATTCTTCGTCATAATACTACTCCTAATTGTTATACTCAATGTCTCGGCCCACAGTGTTTCGCCCATCCAATTAATGAGATGCGGCATGTCTTCTGCAATCAGTGGCCAAGCTGCTCAGCTAATGTCTGATTTTTTTCATATTCTAGTCACAAGCGATATTGGCTGCAGTGTTGGAGGGCACGCATTGCCCATATAAAGATTGGCTACACCTACCATCCAATCCCGTGGGTTTCCGAGTTCTGGCAATTTCTGCCTGTAGATTGGAGCAAGGCCCAATCATCTCATGGTCCTTTGAACATTGACAAAGTGAAGGCTTGTTTTTTCACTTCCTAACTTTTATGATTTATTTCATCACTGCCGTAAAATGTTGGACCTTTATACTTCTGGATCCGTTGAGCCCCTTTTTCATAACTACTTAAGTAAAAAACTTCGTCAACCATTCGTACGTAAACGTATGGTTATACCCTGAATATCTGTAGATAGGACAATCGATTAATAACAAAAATAACTTTTCTTATTGTTGGAAATTTTATTATGGGGAACGAACTTAACCGCTTTGTACTCCAGTTTCTGTTACCAATATTCATAGGATACGTTTTTCGCAAATGTTAGGCGTGTTGTGCCAAAAAGAGCTTACCTTCGATTCGTTCGATTTGCGTTTTCATCTAATGTGTCACCGAAGCCCTACCATTAAATTCCAATTAGCTCTCGTTTTGGGTTAATACTGGGGTTATTCTTGACTTATTTGCTGCATGGAGTTAATGAGATCTTATAATGTCGCTTGTGAAACGCATTTTTTTACTAGGTTATCGCGCCACGAGATCCTGAAGAGTCTGCTCTTGGTAACCTCCGGCCTGAAGGATCAAGGGCCCATGGGCCAACCGAATCGGAACTTATCCGAGCTAATTTCGACCCTTCTTATTTGCCAGCCGATCGTGTGGACGTTCACGTCGCCATTCCGAGTTCCCAACTCCTGTTTTATGGTGCTCTCGTACGCCACATTCTCCACGTGAAAGTTAGTGACTTTATACGAATTTCATGTTACTCCCTAGCGGTGCCGAATTCGTTAACCTAGTTTTAAAAAAAGACTCTTAATGATAGAGATGGCACCCTAATAAGTTAAAATGTGAATACAATGACCGTGTATCTATTTGGGTAATGCATGTGTTGGTTTCTATAAATTTACAGTTCACGCGTGCAATGTTTCACTTTCACAAGGGTAGCTAATTCAATTCTATGGCATCAGTTAGCATAGTTTAGTGGTTCCACAAATAATTTCAGCTTTCTGTGTTAAATGTTTCGATCTTTTTTGCGGTATTCCTAATAGTTACGTTTATGGACCCCTTTTCAACTTTAAGTAATAGACGTTCTCGTGCATTTTTACGTGAGTTCATTGGAATTGTTTCGTCATCAAATAATTTTCTTGCTAAAATGAAACGTCGGTTGATGCAGGTTTCTACTTGTGTATAATTTGTTCCCATATTTGTGATGAGTTGGAATATTTTAGGAAGCATACTTTGGTTGCTACCAGACTCCCATCACAACAGAGAACTTAAAAGACTATGGCCTCACTGAAAAAGGTGATGGTTGCGCCGTACCTTCTTCTGTTAGGAACCAACTGGGAGAACCAAACGCCGTGGTGGATCCCCGGGAATACCGACCCCTCGGAGTGAGAGTCTCAATTGCTATCCACAGCCTGCAAGCCCATCTGCCCATGGTAAGTTGCTCTTTTTCGTGTTATAATTTAATTTGCGCATAATTTACTTTGACTGTCTAATCGACTATTAAGGTTATTGGTGTAATTAAAAAACTTGTGCCTGGTCGGCACACTTTGTGTGGATTTGTAATGGGTGCAGTCACTTAAAGACTCAGCTCACTAGTTTGCCAGGTGAATAGGGACCTGATTCATGAATCTCATTTATCGATTAAAATTCTATTTTCGCCTGATTGTTTATTGGATTGAAGTGACTTTACGGGTCACTGTTCACACCATTAATGAAGATCGCATCCGTTTTCCTTCTATTTCAGCACACTAGCTCTGAAATACCTCTGTGTCCGACAGCGTTTCTCGATTGCATAGGCTTCGAGATGGACAAGGGTTTTTATGAAACCAAATTACAGCTACTCTTTTCCCCAGTTCTTCTCTGTGTTTTTGACAAGTGCAACGTAAGGCTTTCTTCGTGTTGTTTGTTATGAAATTTAAACTGCTTTTTACTAAACCCGTCTGTCAATCCTTAGGCCTATCGCCCACCCAACGCCTCAAACCTCTGCACAGGTCGGGCTCAACTCACTGGATTTGAGTTACGAGGACATGCCATGTTCAGTAATAGAGGTTTGCCACTCAAAGCCGAAACTGTCGAATATGCTTGGTTGTTCGAGATCACATGTGGCACCCTCTCTGGCCAAATCACCGCACCTCAGCTCTCCTCTCTTGTGCACTGTGTCTCTAGTTTGATCTTTTCAGCTATTGACATGGAGAATGCTATTCTCTCTCGTCGATCGGATGAACTATGTCAGCATGCTCTACTTCCCGTAGGTTCAACAAATTACCATCTAGCTCGCCACGGTGTATGTATTTGGATTTAAAGGCGATCAATTGGTTTTACTAGCCATTGGTAGTGCTTATATGTTGAAATATCAGGCCCTAATTTATGAGTTAAGAGTCAACAAGCACCTATTGCTCTGGCTGCTATGGCGTTTTTTGTGATTTGAATGGCCTCAACAATTCTCATTTACAAGCTACGAAGGTCAAGTTCTCATTCAAAAATATAATCAGTTTGACCTTGTATTTAATGAATGAAAAAGTGGCAGTGTTGAACCTCGTCCAATTTGCACAAAATGCTATCATAACTGAAGGCTATTACGCAACAAATCTCGAAATGCTACGTCGCCACCTGCCTTAACCGCAGCACTGAAACGTTGACAAGTTAAACCATTTTGGTTTCTATACAAATTCCTTAGATGGAGTGTCCTTTTTGGTTAAACAAGTCGCCTGGTGCTGAGTTATGTCCGACGGAACTTGAACTTAAATATCGTCTCCTTCGATTTAACCTTGACGGCGTGGAATTGGCCGTTGTGGAGGCGGGCACGTGCCTTATGGTCATGCTGGATGCGGTTCGTGTTGCCCGTTGTAACATGCACGACGTTCACTCTCGTGATGGTATCTCTGTCTTCTTGCCTCGGGTCCAGTTCCTGCAACTTATAAAACCCATCGGTATGCTGGCCGTTGTGTCATGTCCCCCTGCTAGTCATGTAGTAGTTTACTGTGTAATTTCCTGCTTGTTTATTGTTTTGTATGGTACTTGTCGGAGCAATCAGCAGCCTGTCGATTTTCGAATTTTTTATCATTCAATGTCATGTTTGTGTCTTTTAATCTTTCAGTTGATTTAGGGTTAACACTTGTGACGCCAACAGATAATACATTTAAGCACTGGTCAAATATTTGCTTTCCTAAGTCGCACGTTCTCTTGCCGTAGCCAATGTTCTAAGTATATTGCCCGTTTTGTAATGTTAGAGGTCACTGAAACACTAATATATAGACTCACCACATGGCCTCAGAACGCTTGTTAATCTCGGCCTGAACATTTTGTTACCCTATCGATCGTTCATAAAGCTTGTTTGTGCTTTCAGCACTATAATTTAACTTTGAAGTTGTCATATTTAATTGTTTAGTGACTCATTTCTATTACTTTGGCACTTCAAGTCCGAATTCCTTGTGCTGAGTTGTTAATGAGACTAGGCTTTACGTTAATGACTTTGAAATGAAACTACCAACCTTAACATTATCGTTAATAGTGTTGTATTTGGCGTGTCCCACGATTAATGTCAAATAATTTCAGTGGGAAACCTTATGGAATACCAAGCTGAAGTATTGTAGACGAAAACAATTGTGTTACTCAAGTCGCTGTTTGTAAGCTATTGATAAGTTTTTATCAATGGTGTGTTTATTTAAGTAGTTGCCTTTTCGTTTCCTAATATTCGATTATGGCTCATACAAATTGAACTGGTTGTCTAGAAAAAGCCCCTACGAGGCCGCTGACAAAAGAGGGTATTTCCTGGGGCCCTTTCTCCCAGGCAACTTCGTCTTCCCAACCTTGGCTCGAAGCCGGATCGGTTGGCTTCGGCCCCGTCCATATCCACTCGGGCATCTCGGGTCTCAATCACGCGTATCGTGAACCTCAGTTGGCATTCCTTCGTCATCATGACGCGACAACCCATCGTTTATGGTTCTTTTGGCTCTCTGACGATGCTGTTGCTCCGGCCATTGCGGCTGTCCGATGCGGCTGCTATGGCAATTGTGCCTTTTTCGGACCAAATGCTTCTGGGAAGATGCTTTTGGACGAGGTAGTGACCGGGATCTTTTCGAGACGGGCCGTCTTCGTATCCAACTTAAAGCAAAATACGCCTACTTCTCCTGTTGCAACAAATGCAACAGTCAACCCATCATCGTAAGTTTGGTGAAAGCATTTATGTATAACCATAATTTTCGCTTATTCATCCAAGTGAAACACTAATTTAAGGATCTGTGGATCTAATTCCTGTTCTTTTTACATTTCGCTTATAGTATTATGTACTTAGTTTTAAGTCTTGCCCCTCATATCATAGTTGCCGTCGTGGTATACTTGCGACCTCTTCATTGCCTTAAGTGCCTCGACTAAATTATTCTAGTTGTATTCGTGCAAATGATATTTACAACAACCTTTTCATGGTGTATAAAATACAGTTGAACTTCTTTCCATAAAAATTGAGCATCTAGTTTCGGTTGTTCGTCGTTGGTTAGACTTTTCATTCCATTCGATTTACTGCTCTCATAAGTTCAATGCCTTTTCTTTGATCACACAAATCACAATTGTTGACTTCTGTGATGAAAACATTAACATTTGGGATAAGGCCTCTGGTCACCTTGCTGATTGCAGGTGTTTCCGCTCAACCATTTTGCTTTTCAGTAACTATAGACACGAGTTAATTTTTTGAACCTGTAGCGACTTGTTACGTCCTACGAATACTTTTCGGGCTGAATGTACCCCTCACGTTTCTCAACTTTTACTTGTAGAATCTCTCCAGGAGCTGACCTAACCTCCGAGCGCAACCTGGGTGTGAACTTTGGTGAAAGTCTTCTTGAACCAGACCAGCTGCTCTTCCAGTTGCACAATCACAACATCTGTTCTGATACATCGAATGGCTTTGCATTGATGCGCATGGAGGCTGTGATGGCTGATGAGTCGGTGAAGTTTGAAACAACACCCACCTCACGAACCTGCAGTTTTTGTTCTTCGGACGAAGAGGCAGACAGTTTTAGTGATGGTGACAGCTATGAGTCTGAATCCTCAACTATCGGAGTCTCAATCGTAAGCGGTGAAGGTGGACAAAACTTCGATTTGAGAGGAAGGCTGCGACGACACTCGTCTCCGAGGCAGGCTGAAAGTCATGCTAATCAGGAGCCAGTGTCTGTTGCGTACTTCGAGAAGTCGTTGGTTGCCAACGAAGAAGTTGGGGGCACGGGCGTTGTGGATCCGCAGTTTCTAGATGATAATCTTTCCATAACGAGTCTCCTTGATGATTTAACAATCGGACCACCACCATCTCCTCCACCACCACCTCCTCCTCCAAGGCAAGCGGTCTCTGGGACAAGTGCAACTCGCGCTTCTACGAATTCTGTCCCTCTTTTTACTGAAGCTAAAGTGGCTCACTCTAACTACCGAAGAGGTAGTACGAACTCCTTTCATTCTGACCGTGGACTTTCACATACTGGCGATGATTCAACGCTCTCTGGGGACGAGTTTACAGCTAAATTTGTTGGTATGTTTATTAGTGTCGGAAATTTCAGTACTTTGTGATAAGATCTTTGAATTCCTGCAATCCACAAGTTGTAGCTGTGAAAGAAAGGTAGGTTTCTCGCTTTTGTTTTAGACCTCCAAGGCCAACTGAATCGTCCAATCACAGAGAGCAGCCTATTGAGAACAGCCTACGAGCGCCACTTGAATCGATATATCAATAATGTGGATATATGTCCCCCTCTCCGATTAAAACGTCGGTGGCGGGTCTGTCGACGTTTTCGGAATCGTCTACAAGATGCAACAAATGCGGGTGATGGTGTTAATGAAGGAAAGGAAAGTGTTAGTGCGACGCCCAAATGCAATTGCCGCATAGGTATTGCAAAGGCTCCAGAGTTTCTTTGCTCAGCCACGGGTTTCTCCTTCCGCTCAATGATTGACGCAACATCAGGCGCGATGATTGCAGAAAATCCTGCAACCTGCAATGCCCTAATATCAGATACTAATTGCATTCCTTCGTCATTCCGTATTTCGGACCTTCGACCACTACTTTATCCTCGTACGTCGTGTATTTTTCACCTAGTCCTGTAATCTTGAATAGGCGGGTACGAATGGACAATGTTTTAATGCTGCCGATCACCCTTCTTCTGTCTTGTAGACTGCTGTAATGCGAGACTGTGCGAATCTTCGACAGCATCGGTCTCGCGCTCCTCCACTACTGTTTCTGTTATTGGCCCAGTAGATATATTCCTCACACCGCTCTGCGCGGAATGCATCGACAGGTTTGTCTTTTCACTATCATCTGGACTTTCCTGTTGCATGCATGCTAACTTTCACTATATTTTGCGTCTTCATTCAACTTGGCAAGTCCCTTTTCCTTTTGTGCTGACAAACGAGACCACGTTTTTACACTGGAGTCAAGTCTCCGTGACTAACAAGCTGCGCAACTCTGGTCTGCAATTGCATCGATTTATGCTAAACTATTAGCGATGTTCTTCAATGAAAATGTGTAAAGGTGTTCGATTTGACACGCAATCCTGCAGTCTTGTCCAGCCCAAGCCCTATCACTACGCTGCTTTTGCTTAACTGGACCCAAGAAACCAGTCTTCGATGTGGTAGTGCAGCTCTGTGAGGTTATAACCCCCTTTTGCTGTTTATTGATTTCGTGCTGTCTCTATAGCCTAGCGCCCGTTCAACTTGTCCTTTAACGGACTACAAGCTCTCATTCCTAAACGGCCTTTTAAACTCGACATCTCATCACTATTGTCTCTTTACTGGTAATCCTTGTGAACGTGGATTTCACACTGGAGCGTCATGCCATGAAGTAAATCGTGGTTATGCTACGAATAGAATTAATTTAGATTGATAACACTAATAATGAATCGGTATACGTTAAAAGTGCTATTTTTTCATTGCTTTCACGTACTATTTCTTTACTATCTTCACGGTGAATTGCTCCTCCATTCAGGTACATCACAATCATGGCTGCGGTCTTAGCTAATTCTCCACCGGGTTCCGTTATCGACGAATTGCATTTCAAGTGTTTACTGTCTGCCGGTCGCCAAGGTAAAGTGCTCTTCGAAGAACAGCTAAAGCAACGCCAACCCCGGAGCGTAAATGTCAGTAGGCCTCAGCAACCGCGGCCGCCTCAGTCTTCTACCAAGCGTCCAACGAGCCGCTCTATATTTTTCGATCAATTTTCTGAGAACGCTGTGAAATTCCATAAACTTAGTTTGGATGATGGAACCACTGTGATGGGTAGGACTGGTTCATTTTTAATTAAAGGTGTTTTGCAGGTTAGGCATACTACTGTGGTTTAGGTCCCACGTGAATTTTTTGAATTCCAGACATAAAGTCACTTCTCTTCACGGCCCATCTCATTAAGGGGTTATTTGAAAATTTCTTTGTCGTGCCTCAGAAACTGAAATACTTCTTAATCTAGCACCCGTTTTCGTCATCTGAGGTAGTATTAACACTTTATTTTCATGGTAGGCTTCTAATGTATCTAGAGAGCCTCACATTTTAATGTATGTCATAGCTTGGAAATTCATGTAATGTGGTGTCATTAGACTCACCTTGCATTTTCTACCAAATGCAGAAACTCCAGATGAAACAGATGCTCAATGCAAACGTTCTGGTGGTGCGGATAGCCCATCGATAGCATGCGGAACAAAGCAGCCACCGCCGGCGTCAACCACGGCCCGTTATCACCTGGCCGAAGAAAACAACCTCGTGGGCCTTCTTTCGTTGGGTCGTGTGAACATCGGCTTCATGCAGATCTATGCCATTGAGGATGTTGTTACAGTTGATAGTCTGTCTCTGGGCCTTCGCGATCTTACTTGTGTATCATTATTAACACTTGCTGTCGATACTGTTAAGGTTGAGGTACGAATTTAGTGATTTTGGCGCTATAGCCTTTACCTGCTTTCAGTGAAGTTGCTCCACTTCCCATTCTTCTAAACACTAGTATTTTAGAGCCGTTGTATTTTGCTGTTTTTCCATTTATTTACATTCAATATTTGTGTGACATAGCATTGTGATTCCGCGATGCACTTGTTGAAGGTAAATATGAGCTCAAGCTTTTTTATTTCAATCAATTAATAGACGGGTTATCGGTGTATTTGACATGCATTGTCGCCTGTACCTGTGGTTAATTCAATTTCCTTAGTGAAATGACCTAAGCCGATGCATAAGTTATGAATGTTTATGCTTGAGGCGGAGTGCCTTTAAAGGTATGGCCTCGTCTTTTTTGTTTATTTTTTTGGATATATCGTCCTCAGTTGATTCGTGTCTCATTGCACGGAGGACCTCAACATTAGTTGTATGCATTAGTGTAAATGTCGCTCCTTACCCCCTTCACATCCCAGGTACTCAATAACAAAAGAATTCTGCACTATGGTGTTGACCACGGTGAACTTACACCAACACCGCTGAACTGCGCCACTGACGTAATCGCTCGACCTCCTCGAGGAGAGCGAGCATTGAGTGAATTTAATGAGGAACGCAATGATGAGGATGCATCTACGGCTGCTTCTCCTCTCCTCTCCTCTCCCATTCGTTGTGACAAAGCTTGGAGTTCAGTGGCACAGGGTTTGGCCTCAGTTCCGTGTAGCTTGGGGCAACTCCCTCTTGGTAAGCAGTGGTGCTTTTTTACGCCTCAGATATTGAGGTCTTTGTATACCCAACTTTTTAATGGCGAAGCGTCTATAGCTTCATTTAGATCACACTGCAACCGCCGTTTGCTCTGTCACATACTTATTCAACTGACGCCATTTTCACCCATATATTTAGGATAATGTCGCAAATTCCTGCTTCAGTTTCATTAAAGCTGGATTTCATTGTAACGTTTTTTTCAGGCAACGTTGGTGCTACGGCGTCATCGCCGGTAACTCCCACACCCACACCTGCAAAGGTGGTCAGTGCCACCGAGGTCCGCCACACAGAGCGCCTTGTCTGCAATTTTTCCATCTCCCGCATTCATTCGCAACTGCGTCGTCTCACACGCGAGTCTTCATTTACTCCTGAGGTTCTCCTCACAGCGATTCCCTTCTCTGCTTCCCGTGTCTTTTTCGCCTTTGACTCGGACCAGCAGTGTCGTGTCTCTGCACGAAAATCTCCTCCCATTGGCGAACTTTACACCGGAGTCCATGGGCAATTCCCTGCCGCTTCCATCTCCCCGCCCCCGCTGTCGCCTCATTTGGGTACCGCGGAACCCGAGCTTCCTGGGCACTCGGCTGGTTGGATAATGTTCGAGTCCGGCATGGAAGAGCTGACTCTGCTGTTTGTTCAAAGAAAGGGGTACGGTGATTCGTTGGAAGATAAATCTGACCAGAAGACTGTGAAAAAACAGTCAACAAGGGTTAGTGCAAATCCTTCATTTGAATGGGACGTAGAAGCTGGGGAGGAAAGTGCTGATAATAACATGGAATCGGGAAACAATTCTGCAAAAGAGGTGAGTATACTCAAGCACATAACGAGGTCTCACAAGTGTTGACATAACATGTGCCTAAGTTTATCATGTATTAATTATTTCCGCTTTCTGGTGATTAATTTGTATAACGGAATTAGTTTTTAATCCCTTTGTGCTGACCTGTTGTCAACGCTAATTTAATCTTATAACTGGCTATTTTACTCTCATTATTGTTATGTCCTCCTTTCATGGATTTCTTTAACCCCATTACTGTCAGTTACGCCATTTACAAAACTGTTTTTGTAAGGTCCAAGGTTCAAAGCACTTGTCCACCTTCACACCACCCGAATTCTGAGAGTCGTGTTTGCAAAGTTACACTTTTCAAAAATTTATATAATCTATTTTGTGTTGTTCGCTTTGTTGTAACTCTTGAAAGTGGAAAGGCATGCTGCGATCTTGCAAACCTCTTTAAGGACATTTACTTAGCTTCCTCGACACAGCTTCATGGTGGTATTTTTAGCCTAGTGCAAAAGCCAACGGGGAAAAGGACAGTGCTGAGGAAATGAAGAATGCTTTTTTGCTGGACCTGCACGTCAAGACTGTGTGGCTCAACTTCCCGGCTCCCAAACATCTGCCGAATAAACGTCGCGTGGAAATTATCCGGTAGCTTTTGATAACGTTTTTTTTTACTTGTGCATTTCGTCATTCCCATTAATATTTGAATTTTGCACCATGATGACCTGATAACAAGTAACGAATGTGTTCTACTGTCGACACCTATGTAGTAGTTAACCTGATTCTTTCTCCATTCCTGGTTTCAGCTCTGATTGGAACTTCTTGAGCACTGTGACGCCAACAGTAAACGCTTGGATCGGACCATGCAATCGACTTGTGTACAACTCAAAGCATCTAGTTTTCCTTGCGGATCGGCGAATTCTTTCTGTTCTTGCTTGTCTCATGATGGAGACGGTAAATGGTGAAGTTCCCCTTCCCGATTTCCGGAAGCAACTCCGTTTCAGTTCACTTGAAGATGAGGTACCCTGGCCTGTGTTAAAATGCACTTTTCAGGTCTTACTTTTTCTTTTTAATGAATGCTATCAACCATTGGCATCTTTAATCCTCGTTAGCCTTCATGATCATTTTATTCTCATTTTCACTTGCTGTGCTATGCAAAAGCTCCCCTTTAACAATTTGGCACCGAACCCATCAAGTGCACTTTGCTAGTTAAAAAACAGCGTCCATCAACGGTCATCCCATCGAAAAAGACTTTTATCCAAGGATTGCGTTGTACTCTCTCGCCCTTATTTCAATCAAAGCTATTTTTTATTTAGGCCTTCAGTGCCTATTCAACTTGGCGCACACCGGACGCGCGTCGTCTGCGTTATGACCCTTCTTGTCAGATATTCACCGCCCTTCGGCGTCATCTGCAAGCCTTACGGAAGCAATACGGCGAGGCTTACCTAACATCTTGTCTGGATGAGTGGCTTCGTGAGTCTGTTCTCCCTGAAAAGATGATGCTTCTGCGTGGTCTCTTCCTGATACTCCGCGAATGGCGTGTCGCCGTTGATGTCATGATGCTGCCAGTAACAGTACCAGTGTCAAATCGCAACCAGGCTGTTTTCCTTAGTAAGAATAGAGAAGGCATCGTTGACAATGAAAAAGTGGTTTTTTCCCCTGACATGGAGGAGCGACGACCCTCAGGACTGACGTTGCGTATGTTCGAACTCATGACACGGAATGCGGAGTGGAATACTCGAAAAGTCAGTCCTCTAGGAGATCATCAGACCTTGGAGGTTACCGATTTCGTGGATGATGTAGACGAGGTTGAAGAGGAGGGTCACTCCGATGTTGAAGACGTAAATTTTGATGAAACATTAATTCATGACCCAAGAATTCGTTGCGAGAATTCTATCCTTCGTCGCTTCCTTCAGGATGCTCAGCATGGAATTAGGTTGGTTAATAATAAACTTTATGAACAATCATTTTATGGTGTTAATTGGAAAGTTATGCTGTTCGATAATTTACTAAAGCATTGCATCATTTCATAAAACATCGCCCTTCACTTTTTTGTTTACTACTGACATTTGCGGCATTGTCAGCGTACATTCGAGGTTGTAAATTTGCCTTTAAGCGCACGATTCTTATCCGCAATAAGCCTTTTACCTCAAAAATCCTTTCTAACCGCTAAACAAGAAGCACTTTTCCCATCTTCATTGCACTGCCTTCATTGTACTCTTAACTCGTCGTTCTAGGCAGTCGGAATCCAGTGCAAATGTTTTAGACGCGAACGATTCCTCTCCAACCCAACTATCCTCTCGAGTAGTACTATGTGACCCATCTCGATTAGGAACCACCACCGAAAACTTCGTGCGAAACCCGCAGTCTTCTTCTTTGGATGTTGAGCCGGGAACATTGTTTTGCGGAGAAACCCAGAAGGTCTCGGAAAGCGAGAAAAGCGATCACCGCAAAAATTCACTACAACGCCGTTCTCCTATCACACCGGAAGACGTGAACCAGGTCAACCATTTAAAGGGTCAATTCCGTTTTGTTGATGACGCACAACGACTCTTTAGACCACTGCTTGAAGCCATCGGGGTTAATATAAAGGTGCGTTAACACAAACATCTCACATAGTTTCGTTCATTCTCGTTAATTAGAGTAAGTTTTTATCTTCATGCAAACTTAGTTACTTACGCAATGAAATAAAAGTGTTGGTTTACTTTACCACACCGGGAGTGATTATTCAATCTGTGTCCTGTCTGTCAACTATTTAGCACTCACATTCCCGTCATTGTAGGTCACGTGACTAGTGGCTTTTAAATTTATTATTGTCATTATTGCCACGTTTTTAGGGTGTTCGTCGCAGCACGTTGATGAAGAAGTTTGGAGGTCTTTTTGCAGCTGAAGGAATGCTTGATTGTTTTCAAGTTGAGATCTGCGATTCATTGGACAACCCATTGCAGAAAATCGACTCACTGCCTTTCAAATCTTCGGTCGGTGCCAAAAATGTCAGCACCCGGAGTCTAAAAGCAAGCACCTCGCCTAAGGGCAGCCTCAATAATGCATCGGCTGGGTCTAGATCAACTTACAACATTCACAATCCCTCTGCCCAGCGTGCCTTAATGTGCCACCGAATTTCGACCAAAGTCACGCTTCGTGACGTTGTCGGATTCAGCAAATCGGACAACTTCAAGGTTGGGTGACTTTAAATTAAATCTTGTCTGGTTAATCTGTAGTCTTGCCGAACATTGTGTTTTCGAGAAATTTGCGTAGAGTTTGTGTAGTACTTAAAACCTCATTATGAATGACTTCCTACTTACCATGGGCCTGTAGAAAACTGATTTTTTTCTTAAAACACTTTGACACTACATTGAGTGGCCTCGGTTTTAATCAATAACAGTTTATGCTCACAGTTGTGATATGTTGACGTGCGTCACTAGTACATTTCGTAATTGTCTTGCCCCTTTTTAGTCGCGACTTGGTGATGTGGAACTGCGCTCAACGACAACCAAAATCACTGCCGCCCTTCACTTTGACAATATTAGCCAACATTCAAACATGCCACTTTTTCGGTTGACTCACCAGTTTGTCACAATGATTTACTGTGCTCAAGATGCTCAAAAATCTGCAGATAGGCGACGAAACTCCGCCTCTTGCAACCACACTGTAGACGCTAAAGGTACTTTTTATTAAACAGTCCGATTAACTCCCTTGCAAATTTATCTGCGCTTCATAAACTGCCTTTAAAGTCAAGGCCTTTTTTAGCAACTTAACCCATCCTAGTATTCTGGCTGCAGACGTTCACTTAAGTTTCCTGAGGGGTGAATTATTTAGTTTATCAAGTCAAGTGAGTGGTAATTGCAATTTTGGTGGACCTGTTTCGTGTTCCTGTTACTGCTTTATTGGAGCTGCTTGTAATTGGCGCCTTCACTCAATTTGGATCGTGCTCTATACGGCACCGCAGTTGGGAATAAAAGAATTTGAATGCCACTCGAGGCTTTTGGTTGACCGAAAAGTTTTCTGATTTTGCTCGTTTGCGTAGGCTCAATTGCTGACACCGCTGTAAGTGGCAGCACCCTTAAATCGCGACCGGATTATGTTCGACTCAGTGGTCAGTCGCAGGATAGTACAACCGACAGTACTGCGTTCCAGCAGTCATCGAGTGTTGCAGGTGAGTTACAGTTTTGCGTACCTTCTGCTTTATATTAATAATAATTTTGCATATGCGGTCATCCTCCGTGGCTCAAGTCACAGTTAGATCAACTGATCAAACCAACGCGTTGATATCCGTGCTTCGGCAGTAGCGTTTGCTCAGCCCTGTTAGGCCAAAGGCTCATCGTCCATAAATCTGTTTGTAGGCACTGGATGTATTTATATGCGTCAAAGGTAAATGCATATCTGACGATAGTCTTCAGTAATAAAAAAATAGTGCTTGTCGCAAAGGACCCTTAGGTACACATTTCTTTTTTCTAAAATCTCTCCTTCTTTTGTAATTGCTACTGAAGTACGTTCATTTGCATAATTGTTTCTGGCCTTCTAGATGCAAACGTTGCGTTTGTTGGTAGTGCGCCTACCCAAGTGCATCAAAAAGAGGCAACATCAATAGATGTTCATTTCGATTCCTCTCTCAATTCCTCCCTACGTAAGCTTGTTGAGACGTCAGTTAATTTTTCGGAAAACAAAGGAGAAGAACAAGGTGAAACGTATGTTCCAGCCCCCTCGTCTGCAGTCTTTCAACCAAATGTGGGTGTCGGAGTACATCAATCCTCGATACCTGGATGCTGGCGCAGGATGCTGCGTTATATTGACCTCTATTCGACTGTGCCTGAAACGAAGAACATCACGACGAAGGTAATTAATACTGGATGAGTCAAATGGATATGTTGAAATTTCGCTGACTTTGTCCCAAATAGTGGAATTTAATTACCAACTAATTAAGGGAATATTTTTGAGTTTGTAGTCCTTCGTTGGTTTTCCTCGCGCGTTCTGCGAATCTGTACCTTGAATGATTGTTTCTACACCTTAAATAAATAGATATTTAAGGTGTAGACGATTGCATTGTAAATATCAAGTGGTGGCATTTTAGCGATAGTGGACAACTCGAATTCTTACTGTTTTCAGGCATCAGCCATGCCAACAATACTTGAGGAAGATTTGTGCTCTAGTACTGTACGTTTTCCCTTTTGTGCGAATGCCTTTCGCTCGAATCTTCTGGGAATTGCATGAAGAATTTGATTTATTTTGATCTTACCATTGCTTATGCCAACAAATTCGGTTACGAACTTAACGTTGAGTGTTAATTCACGTGCTTTTCAACGTAACCCACTTTGAGGACATGCAGACGCCGGGTTGCCAATTCTTGAGACAAGCTAAAGGCTCGTTAAGCGACAAAAACACATTATCTTGGTGATTTTAAAGTTTGCAGACATTATGTTTTGGTATCGTTGAGCCTAATCGGCGGTTAATTTGAATGTCCGAATCCGCTCTTCCTCGTTTTGATCGCATGACGCCCATTTCCATCCCTCGGATGTGCAATTTGCGTTGCGGATCATCATTCAGTATGTGATTCGCCAACATTTGTCTTGGTAACTGCACATCAAAGGCATTTTTGTGCTTCATCGTCACTGCAAACCCACCCTGGACGCCACATTTTTTGTGCTCCAAATACAATTTGTTTAATAATACTTGCACACTTTGTACTATTGTGGCGTTTTCATTTCCTTCTCAATTGGTTTGAACGCGTGTATAATGATTGCTGATTTCTGCATCTTTCAAAGTTGCTTGCTGGCGTTTTTCTGTTGTCTTGCCATTGTTATGGCTAATGTCCCGCTTGGTGTTCATGCCACACAAGGTCTACGTAGTCGCTCACAATTTCGTGATTCGTACTTCGTTTCGGTACCTCGTATTAGCCTCTTATTGGGAGCCGCATAGACAATGTGTGTTCTCCCGGTATTGTTTTGGTCTCAACGGCAGCCAGCTTATCCGTCGCATTGGCTTCTTCGACCTCTACAACAAATGAATAATTTAACTGCCCGAGATTCCCCTACACACCTGGATTTAATGCGCGCTTCTGAAATTCATACAACTTTTATGCGGTTGATTAAATACCCTAGCAAATTTGCTTTGGTGTGTTGCTCAATGAGCACCACTGTGCTCTGAAATTATGTGCTGATCACGATTTTTGCATCACAGGAATCAGCACACAAGGATGAGCCTGCTCAACAGACAGCTGCTGCTACTTCCCGCTTCTCATTCATGGGTGGTGTCGGGAGTGGGAGTCATCACGACACCGTTGACCTCGAGGCGGGTGTTCGACGCCACTCCGTCTTGTCAACATCCCACGACTCTGTGGCCAAAAGGGAACACCAAGTTGCTTTGACCTCGCCCTGGTTCAAGACTTCCGAGCGAACACCAATGGTTGTGTTCATTACGATGCGGGTTCGTCAGATGACTGTGTCAGCGGTTCTCTCTGAGGTCAACCTTACTGCAGCCGTGAGAAACATTCACGGGTCCTTCACCAAGACCGACCGAGTTCGCGGACACAGTGGGTTGATTTCCTTTCAAAATATCTGTGACACATTTGTTTGGTGTGTTGGCTTCTCCCTATTTGCTCGCATCCAGCCTTGTCCTTTCCACGTTTTATGCCCATCTGAACATTACTTCGAGTCTCGTGTTGTTTTTTTAGAGGTTTCACTATTTATTTACAATAGTTTTGGTCCACTACTCAAGTCTTGATGGTTTACTTTTCAGGCTTCAATTCCTTCAAACTTTTTGCTGTGTGAATAATCCATCCGCCCATCCATCCGTCCATCCATCGAATTTTGTGTTCCTTTTAGGCCTTTTCAAGGAAACATCATCGAACTTTAGTTTATCAGGCCATTTCGGTGATGCAGATGTTCGACTTGTCGAAGGAATTGGCAAGTTTGCCCAGTAAGTGATGATGGATCTATTTAGTGGTTGTGGTATTCGCGTTGTTCATTTCAGCTAATTGATTATTGTTGAGGTGTCCCGTGCAAAATTCTCACTTATTCGATTTCAAACTTTTCTGTTTTGGGTTTCTTAATCTCTAAGACATCTGCTTCCCTACCTACATTTCAGAGAAGCCGCCTTCATGAAGACTAGCCGTTCCCACGTTCTGCTTTCCTGTGCTCGATCCTCACGTCATAGTGAAAAAAATGCCTGTAGCATCGGACTAGGGCGCGTTGAGGTCACGGTGCCCCATCATCCTGTGCGTCTTCATGGAATGGTCCAAAGACAGGCCAGACATCTTAGCACTACTGTCTCAGAATTCCTTCAACTGCCTACGAATCTTGCTGCCTCATCATCTTCAATTGGTCGGAGGTCGGTTGCTTCATGTCAATCTGCGTTTAGCTCCATTGTTAATTCACCATCAATCAATGTTAACTGTTGGGGCTCTGTTGCTACTTCCATTAATGCTTCAGTTCAACTTTGAATACATTTTTTTCAAGCGTCCAAAACCCGGTTTAAGTATGCATCTTTATTTACAGCATGCTTTACCCTTCAGGCGAACGTGCACGGACGGGGCTTCCGCAGCGACTCTTGAATGCACGAACCGCAGAGCTGAGGCTGAAGGTCTTCGCCCCATTGGAAAAACTGGTATAAGTGAGCCTCCGACGGTCATTAGCATGACCGCAGTTGCCAGAGGTCTCACTGTTAGCGTCTCACTCCATCCCACCCTCAATGCGGTGTACACTGTGGACCCGGTGTATTTTCTCGGGCAGATCGGGCCGAGAGGCTATTTGGATATCAATGTTACAAAGCACATGCTCCGGTTCGAATCTGTAGTGAGTCTTGAAACCAGTTTGTCAACCCACTAATGTTTCTCTAAAAAATATTTGATTCAATTGCACCTAACGTATTTTGCCTTCTATATTCGATTATAGCATCAGCAACGTTAGCTACCTTGGCCAATAAAGATCTTAATGTATCCCATGACAGTTTTCTATTTAGCCTTAAGTGTTTTGGTTGGCTATGTCTTTTGTTGGTGGTCTGAGCTTTTCAAAAGTTTCTTTTCTACCTTGTTACGTTTCCCAAGCAGTTCATTCTTTACTTACTTTGTTTGTAACAATGTGCTTTCAGCGTCTACCCGTCATCTTCCCTCGAGCTGTTTGTCTCCGCTTACCGAAAATCCTGGCCTTTGTTGCTAGGCGACAGTGTCCTGGTGGACGTTGTGTTCTAGATTCCACTGCAGAGCCTGTTGTTCCTTGTGGTCTACACTCACGTGAAGGGTTGTACATCGATGTACGCGTTTCTGTTGGTGTATTCGAACAATGTTTGCCTTCCGATATGCTGAATTATATCGTCGTCGTGGTCAAGCTCTTCATGAAGGTGGGTTTTCACAGTTTGCATGTGCCATATTAGCCCCAAACAACCAAATGCTTGACAAAGCGTGCACTCGTTTTGCTATCCCCTGTAGTGCGCCTAGCGAGTGGGCACCTAGATAGGTAAATGACCGTTAGCCCGTCCCCCTTAGATAGCCACACCATCATGGTTAGCGACCAGGCACACAATAGAGGGATAACTGGAAGAACCGGATGTATTCCACATTACCGCATACAAATTCAGAGGGCCAGCGCTTAGGGAGAGTTAGAGCGGGAAAAGGGATGGCCGCGAGGAGGGTCGGCGTTGCCCTCAGACTCGCGGGCGTGCCTTGAGGAAGGTGAAAGTGCGGGAGGGAAAAGGAGGACAAAGAACAGGCTAGACCGGCGTGAGTGGGTCAAATGGCGCGCGTTACACCCCTAAGTTCTTTTTCCACATTACCTAGAGCGAAAAATGGGAAAATTTGTTTCAATGTTATTCTATAAATTTGGTGAACGTTTTATTTTTGTACCCATTAGTGTTTAGTCTTTGCTGTGTTTGTGTGAGTGACAAGGGTGCCGTACCTTAGTTAAGTCTCCCTCATTTAATTATTCTAGGAGATAAATGAAGTTATTCGGAAGATGGCCGGTGAACAACAAACGTGGTCGTCATCTGCATCAGCAGCTGCAGCAACTCGTTCACAACCCCGATCCGTATATCAGCAAACACAACACTCACGCCGGTGCTCTGCGTTTGCGACCACATCAGATCCAACTTTTGAGGCGCCTTCTGCGTCATCTATTCGCTCGTCGATTTTAACTCGCTTCAGTTTCCGGTACGTATTCTGATCAGTTTAATTGGTCTTTGTTCTCTCGTGAGATTATCTCTATTTGCTTGGCACCAGCCTTAGTTATTGGTAGCAGGTCTGATTTCTGGAAGTTTTAGCGCTAATAACGTGACGTTTTATATTTGCCTTTATTTTTTATAATGTTTTCGCGGCATAAACGGATACTCGTTCTTTTATTACGTTTTTTTTAAATTTGTTTGGTGTCCAAGTACCATTGTGGTGTGTTTGAATAACTATCTTTTTAAATCATTTATGGATGTAAAGCTTGAAACTGGGTGGAATTCGTCTGCTTGCAACAACTGCCAATGGAGCTGTGAAGTTCGAGACCTCGGAAATGCATGTGGAACTCTCCAACAGAGTGGAAAGGACACACACGAGTTGGTATACCGATTCTTCTTCCTCCTTCTCTGCTCGACCCTACGTTTGTGGCCCCGATGCCTCAACCCCTACTCCACACAGAAAGAAGTCTGAATATTGGCAACCTACCAGGGATTCCAATCTGCCCCCTCAAGCACCCTCTGACACACTTTCCGCGACAAGTGAGTTAACAGCTCTAGTCAAGCGCCGTATTTTTTTTTTGATGTTTCAAAAGCCATTTCATTTAACCAATTTTAGATTCTGAATCAATTCTTATCTACGCCAAGATCGATCGCCTGAGCATCGAATTGGGTCATCTCGATCAGGTGGATACATTAACCCGTTTTACTGCTTCGTCGTCCTTTGTGCCTAGCAAGTTTAGGCCGTATTTACTGTACAAATCATTCGTTTAAATAACCGTACTATGGATCGAGTTGGTCTTGCTTTAGTTGGGTAACTCACCGCAGATAGTGATTAAACTGTTTGCGAACATAAACCGTTCTAAAGCACTTCCGCAATAATCAATGTTCCCACGTTGTTCAAAGCTGAAGCACGTAAATTTCGGGATTCGGTTTTTGTGAATGAATAATTAAATGCAATGTCTGAATTCGTACAATGTTTGGTAATGACATTTATGCCTTGGAAATATTGAGTTTCTTCCGTGTGTTTCTGATCCCAATTTAACGGAACACGAAGTATGCTGTTTGTTCCCCCAGGATGCTTTTTATAAAGTCTGGGCACCAGAATTTCGCACGCTGGCCTTCTTCCGTACGGCCATTGCTCTGCGCTCCCTCTTAGCCGAAGAAGTGAACTCAGCCACCAACCAACAACTGCATCGAAATCCACATCCTAAAGCGTCCGAGGAGATTGGCTCACGGTCAGGTCACGCTCAATCCGTTCCTCCCCGAACCGGAGATGTTTCTGACTGTGGTGGTGCTGGTAGTCACTCTAGTGCAGCCAGTGGTGCTAGCAGTGTTGTGTTCACGCCGGTCGATGAAGCTAGTGGCGGGCAGGCTTCTCATCCTGTCGAACAAGAAGCCTTCCTCGTATATCTCCGGCGTCCAATTATTTGGGCCAAGCCATCAGCTTTCGATAGAGGTTAGTTTTTCCTCCCTAAGCGACGAAACCAATCACTTTCGTTTAATGTGGTAGTCATTTTACCTCATCAAATCGCGTCAACGTTATTCTTGGGTGACCCGATCTTGTCTGTGCTGGGCGTGTGTATGTGTCATTCAAGGTCATTACGTGTGCTTTCTCGAACCTTTCCTGCATTGCATTTTTGTTCGACTATTGTGGGGTGGTAACGCCCGTTACTTGGCTTGTTGGAACTTTGTTTACTTGATGGCCAAATAAGTTGGCACGGTGTTAATATAAGGCCTCGTGCTCGTTTTTTATCCCCCAATTCACAATTATACGTCTATAAAATTAACAACCAGTTTTGGTATCTCGCCTTCTTCATTTCAAATCATCTTCTTTTAGCAATACTCATTTGGATGGTCTACAATAGTGAATTCGCCAAATGGAATGAGCACATGCAGCAGTTAGACACATTGGTGCGTTTATTTTTAATTTTCGAAGTGTTTTTCAACTCAGTTAGAACTGCGAATGTATTTTTTTTCGGACGCTGGAATGTGTAAAGGCTTTAGATGCTGTCTCTTTGTTACGTATGTTTGTCATCCTTTTCATTTAGCACCTCCCTGGCTTATCCCGTTTTTCAAAAGTCGGGAGTGCTACCTGACGCCCGCGCCACTTTAGTGTTAACTTAGATGATAGCTGCATTTGTAGTAATCTGGCGAATCCTAAAGTGTGGGCTCTTGCACCTTGTAGTCTGGAGTTCATGCCGCCTCTCCAAAAGGCAATAAACCACGCTCTGCACCACCTCCTCATTCCACGGCCTCACCGCCCCCTTCAAGTCCCTCCTCCATGGACAACACAACTCCTGGGCGATCAGGAAGCCCGCCTAATCGCGGTCACTCACGCGAACCCACCATGCAGCCGGTTGTAGGTGGCTCTAAATCAATCCTTTTCTTTCAGCTGAATGTTGAGGACTTGGGCATCTGTTTGCCCACAAACATCCTGCAGGTGCGACGCTTTGTTACTGTTGAGGACAATTCCTCTTTGGTTTAATTCTATTGTATTCATGATACATCTATGCTTCTCATTTACCAGTTTGGCTTGGAATATTCACTGGGCTCAAATTATTCGTTTCTTTGTATCTGTGCAGTTTCATTATTCTCTCCAACGTTTACCCATGTCATTCGCACCGAAACTTAAGCGAGAATTGCGATTTGCCGTCTGGCCCCTCATAATCATCACCCTGCTCGGGTAAATACTCATTTGCAAAAGGGAAGCCACCCAGTCGCCTATGTACATAGTGCTATTATAAAATCCCTGTTGATTGCTATTTTCTTGATACGGATGTTAGGGTACCTAACTAAAAATTGTTGGAATGGTCGAGTGCTTCAAAGTGCCCGTTTGGTTACACTAATTTGTTATTGGACGAAACTGCGTACGTATCTTTCAAGATTAAAGACAATTTCTCCCTGAATGGAAACATTTTATATTCACACTAAAAGCGGTTCACAGGTTCCGTGGGGTCAAATTTGTCTCAGTCATAGGTATGAGAGCGAAACCCCGAATTTAAATCAGACCAATTAGAAGATATTTTTAACATACATGCGAAGTGCCGCCACGTAGATCCCTATGATAAATAGGGACCCTAGAGAAAAAACCTTAAAACTAAGCATAACAGGTGCATTTATGGGGTTTTTGTAAACTAACGCTAAGAAAAATTGGAATGGTTATGACTGAATTCGCTTGATTGATCAGGTAATGCCATGTCTACAGAAAGTAAAGCTGATTTGAATGGTAGTTAATGTGCTTTAGATGAGTCCCCAGTCAATGGAGGTGGATTCGCGGACCGCACTTGTGCTGACATTGGAGCAGAGCCGAATTTCCGCCTGTGTACGTGGTTCCTTGGCTAGTGAAGGCGAGTTTACCGGTACGATTTCCCTTGAGTTATAATTTACCGTGTAGTTCAGTTCAACTCTAAATCAACCTCAATTAGTCTTGCCTAATTTTTCTCCTTTGAGATTTCTGTCTGCGATTTGACGACGATTTTAACGTGGGTTCAGACGATTGGAAGCCTGATAGAGGACGCTCAACGATTACCGTTAAGAAGGAGGACCATTTAGTTGTAATGAACTCCTGTGTTGTGCCCAGCGGCACCTTTCGTGTCTGTTGGAGGGCGTTTGAGAGCCTACGCGCAGGTACTGTTTCCAGGCTTAACTTTGCTTAGTCTTTTTCTTCTCTTTGACTTCCTAAACGTGTTTCCTTCACTCTCGTCATTTCTTCCTTCATTACTCATGCTTCCCTTCTACACCCCCCTCTCCTTCTACCATTCACTGTCCTTCACGCATCTTCGCTTTTTGTTAAATTTCCTCAGTAAAAACCCCATTTGATTGAATATTTTCGCCTTCCCACATCTTTTTGTTTTGTTGTTTTTAATATGCTATACCCAAGTCTCTGTGCATCAACAGGGGTATGTGTTCATGCCCTCTATTTGTACTTTATTGCTTCATTTTTGTGTGTTCTAAAGCTCAGAATTTCCTTCTCCACGTGGTTTTTGACCAGGCCCTTATTAACGGGTTTCTATAAACCGCCAGCCTTCTTTCTCCCTTCAGATCTGCCTTATTTTGCCATAGAATACCATTGAAATTTTGATAGTAAGTACAACTGCCACTGACTGCAAAACACCATTTCGTCAATGGAGGTGTCAAGTTAACGAGGAAATTTGTGTTGGAAATAACGCCCAAATAGGTTTAATATTTAGCAGTAACTTTTGATTATTTTGTGGGACGTTATCTCCTTTACACTGCTAATCTTCGACTGCCTTCCGGTTTTAAATGATGCAGACGAGCGGGGCCGTTGGTTAGTCAAGATCCACTACCAGATGCGCGGCCTCGACGTGCACATGGACGACAACATTGGACGTAGATTGAAGGCGCTCTTCGACATCCTTACTATCATGACAAGTACCGATGGAGAACAGCAGACTGTCATTAGCGGAGAGGGAAGTGCGAATGCTGTTGCCACTTACAAGCAGAACTCCTCCACTTGCGAGGATGCCACAAATGCCTTTCCATGTCGTTGTGACGATCCAGAGTATGAATTGCAGCCATCAAAGTGGGTTTTCCAATTGCCTGTATTTGCGATTTCTGTTTTGGTCTTTCGGGTGCAAAGCCAGTTGCACTTCAAATTAAACCTAGACTTACCGGCACACGGACACAAACCCCAAGCGCAATTAACCGCGTCCCCCTGCACTAGCACCCAGGCTGAGTGCGTGCGAGTCAGCGCATCCTCACGCCAAGGCGAGACACGGCCTCGTGCAGGGGCCTTTGCTGTCTCAGCCAATGGCCGAGTGCACGTTCACATGCGCCCACTTATCTATGGCGTGGGCGGCCTTGGGTGCGAATAGGAAAAAAGTAGCCTGAATGTGATTTAACCAATGGCGGAGGTGAAGTCCGATAAGAGTACAAAGGTTGACGTGCGTGGGCATGAATGGTAATGAAAATTAGACAATTTTGAAAATCTCAAGACAGTCTTGGGGCCGCTAACTCCCCAACAGTGCTTTGTTCATTTTACGATTTTTAGGTGATCGAATAATGTGGTCCGGTCGAACTTCTTAAGACTAACAGTCTCATTAAATATTGATCCTAAAGGTAATTCGCCCGAAAATATCAGTGAATGGGATCTTTTCAGGATTTGTGAAATGAGGGATACCTTGTCATCTGGCTTTTTTATTGCCTCATTTTTTTCTTCCTTGTTTTCCCCACTTTTCGAGTGGTCGTCGTGATTTTGTTTGATCTTGGCCTTACATTCATTTCCAGTTTGTTGGACGTCGAACTGCAACATCAGCAGTTCAGTCAGTACAAGCGCTTTAAGTTGAGCAATTTGCGCAAGAAGACAGCCATAACAAGTTCATATTCTCAATGCGGTCTCCGGAGAACTGGCTCGCTGGTATCAGAGGAGAGGTAATTTAAGTGGGTTAGCAATCGGATATTCATCGGTTCGTTTCACTTTAGGCTATCTTTTCTATCTATTTAGACAACATAGGCAAACGAATAACATCCTGCCTACTCCAACCCTGTTGGAAGACTGTGGTGAGCTAGTCAGCGCTGCAGGATCTCCAAACGCTTCCTGTTTATCAGCCTCCTCACGTGCTGGATCCATCTACTTTGATGCCGACGATCCAGCCACGGGAATGTTGGCGGCTGACAATCAACCCTCGACCCCTAGCCATCTACTTCGGGGCCTTCCTACTCTTCAAATCGATAAGCCTTCTGAATACAAGACTGGTACGAATCTTCAAATGTCTTATTCGTGACAACGTCTTTCCAACACTGTATTTTTGGTTATAGATACCCATTCTTTGCGAGATGACTGCCCATTTGATGTTGAAAACCCAGCTGAAGAAGCAGCTTTATCTGTTCTCTATTCAGAACAGGACGAGTCTCAACGGCCTCCCACTCCACCTCCTAGAACCAACGCTTTTATTTCATCTGTCCGCAAGCCCTTACAAGAATCTCAAAAAACACAGCCACAAACACAGCTGGAGGAACCGTCTCGGAGTAGTTTACTTTTCGAACTGGATATCAATATCCACGTTGATTCTGGCAAGTGTGGTCTCCATCCTAGGTTGCCGAAAGTGGAGGAAGGATGTGGCAATGGCTGTGGTAGTCAGACGTGGCCCACGTCCCCAGGTATAGGCAGCCCTTTGTCACTACAGGATGATCCGTTCAAGGCCTACTTATCTAGATATAAGCGACACTTGTCCCAAGATCCCCTATTGAAGCCTACGGACATCTCTGTCTTCTTTCTACCGGCGCTCGATGTTGGGGTGAGATCTTGATGTCATGCCTTTTCATTGAAATATTATTTTTTCGAATTGTTTCGATTTTCCGGATAGTAATCTGATGTCTGAATTCATGATTTGGTATTTCTGAATTTCCAGGCTTGCTAATCTGTCTGATCTGTATTGTGGTTCGTGGAGGTTGGATTTGTGTTGATTGCAAGCTAATAAATTTATTAAAACCAAGGTAACAAGCAAGTCATGTTTTTCTCTCAGTTATTTCCTATACGTAGTGTCCAGTCTCTTGAATATATCTACTTTGTTGGTAGTTGAATTGGCCTATAGCGTCTTTATTAAAATTTTGTTTTTGACGGGGAATTCTAACCAACTATTAAATCAATTGAAATGGATATAGCCTGCTATGTGCTTATTTCGAAAATGTTGGAAGGGGATTTGTGAAGAAAAATATGAACCCACCCTTTTAGCTCCACTACAAATCGCACACCAAATACGATCTCTGGAATCAACAGGTTCACCACGTGTCTTCAGAGGAAGAACGTAAATTAGAGCATAAGCTCGAGGACAGGAGTTTCTTCAATAATGCTGCAGCGACGAAAATAGATGCCACGGCATCCCTTACTGAACCGGAAGATAGGCCAATGCACGACAAAGGTGTCCCACCGGCGGTCCTCCCCCTCGCCTGTACCAACGGATCTCCAGATGTGGGTCGCTCGGCCGACCTGTACGCCAGTATTGTGCTTCAGAAATTGCCACAGGCATGTTGTGTTGTGCTCACTTTTTAATTCTGTTCTGACATGCTAAAGTTTGAACTGTGTGCCATAAAAATCATTGTTTTTTCACGTTTAGTCGCTCATTGTGCACCCTGGCCTGCTGGATTTCTTGGAACAGGCGTTAGAAAATCTTCCAGGTTGGTTATCACCTATCTTTCTAGGATTGTGTTTTTCGGAATAGGCCTAATCATTTTTTTCGTCGCAGTTGTGATGGATTCGGCGTCCGATGATGCTCAGTCAACACAACCAAAGTCTTCGGTTCAACTTAATGACGTTCTAGTGACCAGTACAAGGACATTTTTGGTGGATGTGGTCGTTCATCTCCGAATGCAGCCATCTACTATTCGGTGGGTTACCGTCTAATTAACCCGAGTTTCTCAACTAATTAACAGAAGTCATTCAAAAAATGCGAAACGCTGATCAATTTCACAAATATAGCTTTAGACTCTTCGTGCTATTCGCTGCGGGGAGAATACTGAATGTTATACTATTAATCATTCTTGATGGGTTATTGCTTTAAAGAGATCGCAATTCCAAACTACTTCCTAACTCTCACTTCATTCATCTGCGTAATCTTAGGTGTAAATTTGCTTTTGCTGGGTCACAGCGCGATACTCATGGACCATAAGCCATGTAAAATGCCAATCCTTATTGACCCAACGCATGTGGATTGATGTATGTCTACTCAAGTCTTTTTTTCAGGTTCCTTTGTCTTCCATCCTCCCAAATGCAATGTCTCATCACCCTTCCATCTCTAAATGCCGTATTCTCATCGGAGCGCCTAGCTGAAGGAAGTCTTGATGGTACTCGTATGTTATTTCTAACATGGCATTAGTCTGCTGTAGTAATCGAGCCACCTTGACTCCGCCTTCTTTGTCTTTGAAGTTTAATTCCTCAATTGTGAACTGGTGTAACAGTTGCGTAGTGGCTCTATCCTGACATCATCTCCTTGTACTAACCAGAATCGCATAAGTGGCAATCGTCTAATCTCACCCGTGGTTAACTCGAAGCAGTTAGCATTAAACATGAAATTTGACTTCCGTGTTAAGTTTCTTAGTAAGGCCGATCCGGTAATTTGTGCTCTGATAGATTTTCTTTAAGGATAGTCATTTTAATCTTCAGGAGAGAAGCCAGTTGGTCGCCTTTCACTTCCGGTGGACATGGCTGAGAATGTTGCTCTTGGTGACATTGTCTCTGCCAGTGGTCTTAATATGACCATCATTCTCAATGGTATGAATGACTTTTGTAACATTTAATTTTTTTTCCATACTCCAATTATGCAACAATCCTAGTCTTTACCTTATATTCATTCCCAATTGTGGCAAAATACCTTTGTTTTTGTTAGTTTTTTAGTCCATGTCAAAGTGAATGTTTGTGGATACTGCGTAAACACTGGTAGTCGTTTCTGTGAGGACACGAGACAAATTAAGTATGCGTGCACATTTGCGATTGTTTAGATGCGACGTGTTTTCAGCGACAAGTCCCCCAATTAGTTGAGTAACGCACTTCTTATGTTGCATGTAAAATGTGGGTGACCTTGGACAGGCATTTATTTCACCACATCTCGTTTCTTATTCTCTGACAGAATTCCGCATGTCAGTGTTCCATCCTTACGGTGGAGGCATCGGCGGCGGACTCCGAGCATCCTCAGACGCCGACGGCACTTCTCCCGGTGACTCCCTGACTCTTAAGGTTCGCGACATCCGTCTCAACATCAGCCGAACCGTACAAACCAACATTGTAAATCACCAGCAGCAGGCACAACAGCCGAGCGATGGCGCTGCGTCCGATGTCCGGACTGCTACCGCAACAATGAATAGTTATGTGACTGCCAGTTCTGGAGCCAACACTATCTCCCTCCATAACATTGTCAGATTTTCAGGTGTGTTACCCTTTTTAATAAGTCTTAAACGCAGATACTACGTCTAATATTTACTCGTAGCCACAAAAATCTAGAGTGAGGATCGCCAGCCACGGTATCTGCCGGACTTTGTCGACGTTGGCTTGTGCATCATCTGACAGTGTCGTTAACTTTCCTGATACAGTTATTTTCAAATATTTTGAAATTTTAAGTATGACTTCATAACGGCTGTCCTAATTTCATTCATTCTTGATGGCCTTGAAATTGACTTCCAATTTTTCAAGCAATCACTTTTCATTTTCACTTTTTTTAAACTTGCCTTTACGCCTACTTACTTGCTTTCATCGTTTAGGCGTTGTTGATATTGGCGTGGCAGAATTTAAGTGCGACACAAGAAGGAGCCTGGAGATTCTACACATTCCCAAGGCCTGGTATAGGAAAAGCCTTGCTAGGGCTCTTTTTATTGGAAAGGATTCACGGATCCCGCGTAAGCGGTTTTCTTGTTGCACCACTCTACTCTATTTTGGATAACTTTTTGAAATGCTTTCCAGGGAGTATAACAAAATTTTGATTCTATTGCCCTGGTAAATATGCTTAGACACGTGTCGGGAAATCGGTGCAGCTTCTAGATGCCCCCAATGTGAATTTTTAGACCCACCGAACCGAAAGTAATGCAAATTAAATCTAGTTTAGTTTAATAGGTTAGAGGTTTATGATTTGATCGTGACTCGATGAAATTCGGGCTCAAAAGTAACTTTACGTCCAGCTTACGCGATTTTGGCCAATAACATCCAATGCACTTTCGTTACACCAGCGATTGCGCCCTTTGGATTTGACCTTAAGTAGTCACGACATCGTATTAATACCCCTAAAGTCACTAGAATGATCCAGTTTCTCACATTGTTGCGTTTGGTTATGCCTTCTGGCCTTCTCACTTACTAACCTGGGCTCAACGTATAGAAATCTTTGGTGGATGTTCCCAGTTGTTTCTAAAATAAGTTCCACAGGAATTTCACGGTGCCAATTTGAGTTGCCTGCCGTATTTAGCCAATATTCACTGCACTACAGGATTATTTTTAAAACAAATCAAACTGACGTTTTTGTTATCTTAACGGTTACTTCTTTTTACAGAGTCTGCGAATTCAGCAACAGCTCAGCGAGCGGGCACAACAGATGATGAAGATGATAACGAGGTAGACGACTGCGACGACGATGACGACGACTCCGTGAGCCAGGACGAGGGTGAGGTCACTCGCAGCAGTTGCACCCCTCCGCCGGTATCCGAAGCCACCAATACCCTTGCCTCCTGGTTGCAAAAAGGTCCACGGCTCCGGTGTAAGTTTTAGATTTAAGGTGTCAATTTACGGTTGCGGTTCGATTATTAAGAAAATCAGCGACTTTCTGCATTCTTCATTCTTAACCCCTCACATCAACCGAACTGGGCGATAGATCGAGTTTGCTTGTGTTCCGCTAAGAAAAACTTGTGTAGTTTTTCATGTTACTTTTCAGCCAAAATTCGAATTGGCGCCGGGACAGCTGGGGCTCCAATTAAACCCACCATCTCAACTTCTGCGAGCATGGTGAATCGTCGGAGTGCAACAACACCACGTGAGGGTCTGAACGACTCGCTGACTGATCGATTCGTCTCCAACACAACAACCCTGACTCCTCTGGTTGGTCCTGACGATAACGGGGCCGGAGGAGGCCCCTCTTCGACAAGCCGCCTTAGCAGCGTGAGGGTCGTTTCGTGGCAAGCTCTTCCGATTTTCTACGCCAAGATCGGCCACCTTGATGTCAGGACGTATATGGGAAGCGCAATGGGTCTCACAAAGTTAGTGAATCATTCCACACTTCTAGACTATCAAATATGCCTTGTCTTAATCCTATTATGTCAGAAGTATCTTCTTAAACATAGCTGAATCATGTCAACTGAATGGTAGACTGTCTTACTGTGGTATTCGTAACTTCTGTTTCCGTCCAAATTGCACTATTAACTTAGGTAGTTGGTGTAGAAAAACATCGAACTATATCTCGTTCAGTTTGATGTTTTGTGCACACGCAGTGTTCTAGCACATTTCAGGTAGTAGGACACGACTGTCTTTACCAGTTGCAATGACTGTCTAAAACTTGTGCCCTTTAAGGTATGTGTTCGGAAGTGTAATTGTGGTTTAATGTTGTCAGTTCTCTTTTTATCTTTTCCACATAAATGTGTCTCAAAATGTGATCTCATTTTAAAGACTCGACGTTCGGAACATTTTCTGCGATGGTCGTCTTTATCAGGACTCCTCAAAGCGTCGTCAGGGTTCTCTAGGTGCTGGCATTAATCTCTGCCACTTTACCAGCGAGAAGGGGGTTGTTGGGGGAGAATTTACTCTGCTTGATTTGGATTCGCGGATAAACTTTAAAGAAGACCCACAATGCGACCCTCAACACAGCGCCGAACTTCTCTTGCGCGGTTTCCAGCTGAGCATTGAGTACATGAACACGAATCTCGTTTTCCTCCGACTAAATCAAGCGGAGATGTACTTGAACGACGAGTGGCGTCTGCGAGAGGCAGATCATCTTTCTGTGGGGAAAACCGGTGTTGAGAAAGCAAAAGATATTGCAATTTCTGCTCCGCGGAAAATTTCTGCTTCCTCGCCGTTAGTTGATGCCGAAGACGAGGCGACAACCCCTCAGCGCTCAGCTGCCATCGGTGCCCCGCCCGTATACGTCATGATCTCTGGCGAGATCAACTGGGATCAGTTACAGGTTCGATTTAGTTACTACCATAACTCGGCAGTGTATGGCCAAAGTCGACTTCTTCTGATCATTTTTTTAAGTCTTAGGTGGCAAAGGCCTTTTTTTCGTTCAATTAATCGGCTGGTTCCGTGTCCTGAATCTGACACATTTTCTTATTCGCACATGTCCCATGGAAGTTGCTAATTTTGGTCTCCGTGATATCGTTTGTTCCTGGCAGACTCGGTCGAAGTACATTTGCTTCTGGTGGCCTCAAATTTTCGGGTTTTATTTGCTATTATCGATGTAGCATGATTTCTCCTACACTCGGGTCTCTACTGCTATATCTTCCAGCCGTTCAACCCTAAAATTCAATATGGTTTTTCGTTTTTATTTGTTAAAGCAAAAGAAATTAATGTGTGAAGGTGTCTGGATGCCATGGAATTATAGTATGCACTTATATGGACATATGGACCCTGTCCTTAATATAGACCATCTACGTGGCCGAAGGATTAAATCTCATTTTCTTCTTTGTCAAAATTTTGTCATGTTATTGGTTTCTTAACAGGTAGCAATAGCCCGGACAACGACTGTTGATTTAGTCCGCTCAGCTCGTAAAGTGCGTGAGTACTTTGAAGAACAACTTCGGGAAGGTCGTAACAGTTGGATTGGCCAAGGTGACTACCTCTTACGACCGGACAGTTCCACTGTATGCGTCGCCGGTAACGTCGGGGCTACCCCAGTGGATAGTCTATCCCTCCCAACGGAGAGTGGGGAGACTCTTGAGGGTCTTGAGCCAGCCACCGCAACGGCAGCCCTCGGTTTCTCCTGCACTGAGGAAAATGTGGACACATTACTTCAGCGCCACTGGCAGCGTCCGATGTTGGAGGCCATTCAAGCCTGTCTCGTTCACATTGGAACGCAAGCTCCACAGGTGCGACGGAATATTCTCGAATCAACCGCCCCAGCTGACGAGAACTCGGTCCCTCCTGTACTGGGAGGTTCTCTACAACTGGCCGGTAACACTCTGGCTTTGGCGTGTTTTGCAGGAACTTTTAGGTCTGCTCCGGATTGGGCCGTCTTTGATATGCAACAGCCTACTATTTGGTAATTTGCACTTAAATGTCAAATTCCTGTATATCTTAAGAGTTGCCACCACAAGGTGGTTCTGCCCTTGTGTTGTACTGATAAATCCCAGAACTTTGCGCGAGACCTGTCGTTATTAGTTGATACCAAACGCACATATTTTGCATTCGGTTCCTTTTGCATCACAATATTGCGGCTCATAGTTCAGTACTCTTTTAAAACAATGTGGGCTTTCTGTAGTTTTGAGACCGAAGCGCAGAGAGAACCGCGCACTCGACCCTCGGGAGCAACCGACCTCTTGACGCACAAGAAGTCGGTTGCCTTCGTCTCCGAGGCATCGGATGAAATGCCCGAGAGCATTGACGCAGTTGGTGGGTGGCTCAACGTCCGTCAGGTGCTCAGTTTCGATCTCGGCCACCAGCTGCAGTACCGCCCTCAGACTGCCTACGTGCTCCGCGTGAGACGCGGGCGTGAACAGAATCCGGTCAAGTTACCGACCACACCCACCATTTCTGAATGGTTGGAATTCATGTTTAAGGCGGTAGATAATACAGGTTAGCCGTACTTTTTTTTCAAATTTGATTGTATTGTCCTGAACTGGGGGCAAAATATTAATGTCACGGTAATACAAACATTAAATTTACCACGTTTTCGCTCACCCAGAAACAAATCATTTGAAACTAGGATTTTTCATGTGTACTTTTGAATTTAACCCCTAGTAATTCCACTTTTGCTCATCAATCCGGACGCCTTTTTAAATATCTCGGCCAGATATTTATTAATCATTCTGTTATTCTAATTCCTTTTCCAGTTCTCAGCCATGTTCGCGGAGCAAACCCGCACTATATCTCGGACATGGTCAAATGTGAGTTGCATGATGCCATTATGCATCCACTGCACCATCGCTGGCTTCAGTGGTTTCTATAAACAAATTTGAGCAAATCGTCTCTGTAGATGAATTTTTTCTTGATGATTATTTTGTGCATGGCATCGTTGAACATTCAATCCTCACATAATTTTGGTTTTGAAGTTTTGATGCCCAATTTGGAATGTCTCAATGTGGTTGGACCGGATATTCTAAAGTAATTGATGGGAGTCAGCAATTAGATTTTTTCGGACACAAAGGCGTTGTGGTGAGGAAGAATTTGTCATGCCACTTCACCCGTAACTATACAAATTTGTATGCGATTATATATAGCGTAGTTGTCGTTTTTTATTACTAAAAAGTCTATTTCAAACAACGTGTATTGGATGTCGTACAAGACCAGTACATTTAATTTCCTTGAACGCTGAAACTTGTGATTAGAAACGCCATTGTGTTACAACAGTCTCATCGAAAATGGCCTATACCTGCAGTGTTTGTTCTTTTTACCAAATAGTTTACGTCCTGAGATAAGGGCGTCGATATTTTGAAAAAAAAACGCATTCGTTCCAGAGGTTCCAACATTGCAGTCTTTGCGAAAGCATTGGCAAAGGAACGTTAACAGAAGGCTTGGATTAATTCCCTATTATTTGTGTGTGCGTATGTGGAGTGCTAACGACAATAGAGATACTATTTCCTATTATCCAGTGACCGACTTCTCTGTTGACTTCGGTGCCTGCCTTTCGTCTACAATGGAGACACCTAACGGCCCTATCGGTGCCCCCACGTCACACATTTTGCCAGAGCGTTCCAGCACTCTGATTCCTATTGTGACTGTGAACCGTCCGAATCCTTTGAAACCACCCACTGAGGCGGAGATTCTTTTCGTCCTGCCCTCTGTCTCAATGCGTCTGACTAGCGATCAGCGTCAGACCATGGCCCATCCTAAGATCTCCGAGCTCTTCATTTTCGCTCAAGACCTTCAGCAGGAAAAAGCCGCTGCGGCAGCAGAAGCAGCCAAGCAATCAAAGACAAAGGGAACCTACTTCGGCACCAATTTTCCCGAGCCATCTCTTTCAGTTGATGTAGGGGAGAATGAAACACGGGGAAGGGAGGACGATGGCTCCTCTGCTAAAGTGCACCTCAGTTTTCAGACCGATTTGCATGGAGTGATCCAGCTGGGACTGCTCGATGTCCCCTGGCTTCCACTCCTCATAAGGTCCTACATAAACGAACAGATGCACGACATAGAAAGTGAGGCGAATTTTCACAATTTACTTTACAGTAAACTGTCATGGCTGTTTTAATCTAGACGCAACTCCGGATTGAGCCGTTGGTACATTCTGGCGACATCCCTGATGAGCATATTCCTTCACTTTTAATTTTGTCCAGGCGTGGGACTATATATGATCTCATCACAGCAGTTATTTGCTATGTTTCATAACATCACGTAAACCTAAAAAGGTAACTTGGGTGGAAGTTACCAAGCGACCTATCACTGTGATTTAACATGACAACGCTATATGCTGTCTGTAGGTAAATTAACAAGTTCATTTACACTCACCTCGCAAATCGAATTTCAAATTTGTGGCACACGAACACATTGCCAGATAGCGAGGCCTGAATTTGTCCTTATCTTTAATGGGTATTACAATAGGGCTTTGAAATAAGCGAGATTTGTTGTTTAATTCTTTTTAGACATGGCCGTTCCCGACCCGACTTACGCCGTGACCCCTCGAACCCTTGAATTGGCGAAAGAAGGCCTTTTACCGGGCAGTTGCGCGGCCGCCAGCACAGCGAGTACTGCTTCGCCTATCGTGCAAGACCTTAGAAGCTACGACGTGATACACTGGAACCTTTCCCCTGAATGTCGTTGGCTTTTGGCTTCCAACATTGCCGTACCAGCTTTCGATATGCTCCTAGAAAAGGTCGGCTTTCAAAGAGCACGAACCACTATACCAAAGTGGCTTCAGCGTGGCGTCCTTGATCACCTTGATTCAGCAGTGGCGTGTCTCGTGCTTGCGTCATTGCGTCTCACTGATGAACAGCGACACGAACGAGAGAGGAAGAAAAAGATGGATAGGAAGTTGCAAGAACGCCGTTCCCTGGACTATTACTACTGAACGAGATACCCCATCTCTCATTTCACTGTATTTACTCAGTTGCTATTTCATGATATGTAGCGTATTCATAAATGCTTTACTTTAGTTGGATTATTCTACTATTAATTGTTGGGAAAGTGCCCACCAGAAGTTTGGGATTTTTTGCCTATATAAGCATGGAAAACGCTTTCTCAGTAGCTCATCTTCAATATGCTTTTTTATGGTTAGAGTAAGGCAAATTGAAGTGGAGAGATAGGCATATCGCATGGGACTTAGCCAACCAAACCATACACTAAAAATGGGAACTCCACAATCGCTAAAATGTTCGATTCAGATTGAGTCTCGATAATGCTCTGATTATTACAGGGAGGATTTTGCAGACTCCTGGGTGTTCGCGGAATGCTGTGTACTTAATAATGGCGTAGTGTGTTAAATCTAAGTGCACGTGGTACGCAGCCTCCAACTGATGAGGATGCTCACAGTGTACAGGTGACACGATTACACAACGCCAATCGCTGGAAAGCTAAGACAACACTTCGCTCCAATATCCGCTTGAACACATGCATGCTGAAGTAGAGCTCAGTCAGATGCTGCGTGGTTTCTAAATGATGGCCTCTGAAAGACATGTTTCCAGGGCTTTGGGTCTGTATTATGTGTTTGTAATCGGAAGATAACTCAGAATGCTATTTGTTCTTTCGTACAGAACAAAAGTGACTGGTTTTGAGTTAATACTTAAATTAAAAATGACGAGTGACTTACATTAGACCATTTAGATTAATTTCCACAATTAATCCCGATTATAAGGAAGCTAATTCACAAAAAAATCCACAATAAGGAAACAGCAGTAATACTTTATAAATTATTCACATAAACACACTCAATGCAAGAAGTCAACGTGCCTGTTTGTCACTTTGGCAGCTCAGTGCTATATGCTGCCCAAAAAGCCGCATTTAAATCCCATAATTTATCGATTCTTTGTGTGTAGGGAGAACGCTAAAAACGAAGTTATTTCAAGGTCGTGCACAGTGCCGCCATTTATAACCATGCAAGTTCCCCATTCCTACAAAATTGGTTCGAAACAGCAGCAAAATGCCCTAAAAAACGTCAAAGAAAGTAGCATGGTTGAAGGTCCTTTATGTTGCTTGACGGCTGACGAAAACTTCTCAAACTTTAATCTCACTGACGGTAACTGCAGCTCAGAAGAAATTTGTCAGGCCATCAACAATACGAAAATCGAGCATCAAAGTTCCGTGTCAAGCTTCATTCATAACCACCAAAGTGGGGACACGTCAAAAGAACATGGGACGCGGGTGATATTACCTACACATTCTCCGAATCCAGATAAACTTGTTGGAAAAGCGTCAGTGAAGAGAACATCTACAAGGTTTTCACGTTTTCTACTGCCTTGGTTAGAAGGCAGAAAAGTGGGTACGCCCGGAAATCCATTTGTAGGAAAAAAACGTTGGGAAAAGTTTAATCTCAAAAGTAAAGACACAGCATGCTGTTCATCAGTTTGCGATGATCCACCCTACGAAAATAGTGACTCCGATACCTTGGATGATAACAGTTTTGATTCTGCAGTTGTGGCAGAAGATACTCACAAAAAAGCTTTACTTGACACACGGCAAAGTAAATCAGTGGACTGTTTTATTGGTAATTGGCTAGCCACCCAGAATAACTCTTCAAAGATTGATAGTTTTGCCATCGATCCGGACGGCGAAACAGAGTGCGACGTCGTCGAAAGCGGACGGTTAGGCTTCTGTGGTTTATGTTCATGGCATCGGAAGGGGCGTCGCCAGAAAAATCTTAAACGTCGCCAACTTAAGGCACCGCAGGTGGAGCAAATCGTTGAACACTGCGGTGTTCAAAAAGCCGGAGACTTGGAGTCTACGTCTGCACGGATTTCCACTCCTGGGACACCAAGTTTCAGCGATATTAGGGTATCGCCTCCACCAAAGTTTGATTCTACTGTTGAATTCAGACTGATGGAAGCAGTCACAAAAGAAAAGACCAAATCGTACTCCTCCATAGAGGAGGCAGAGCAACAGCACCTCTCCACGTCTTACAGCAGTGGTGCGGAGAGTGAGCAGCTATGTAGGCGCCTACAATGCCTCATACCACAAGAAGACGCGTGGTCGAAGACATCTTATGCTGAAGATAATGACAGCGATTGGGCTGTAATGAAATACGAAACTGACGTTGGTCAGACAATTGTGGCAGGCAGTAGTAAGACAAATGCATCGTTGTCGCCTCTTCCACCTGAGGGGTATCAAGTTCTCCACACCTCGTGTCCCCAGTCGCCAGTAGAAGTCAAGCAGTCCAACTGTTCTAACGTTCATCTGGCTGAAGTGATTACAGGATTTGAGACTTGTTTTGTGGAAAACAACGCTTTATTGTGCAACACATTCGACCAACGAATAACTAATTACAATAAAACAGAGTCGACAATTTCAACGCCTAGCAGTGCAACTGAACGTTACAAAGATGGACCACTGAATTCTGCTCGGTCTGGTTTTCATTATGGACTACATTTTTCACTTCCCGAGCTGAATTTGTGTAAGAATGGGCGCAAGTCAACACTGACAATGGTGAGACACAATTACGGCATCAAAGGATCCTGTTCCATATTCGATTCGATGCCTCATTTGAGGCAACCTCACAGACTATACCATACACCTCGGCCAGTAAGTCAGACGACATATGTGATTGCAAAAATTGATCTCCCTGACTCGGTGGGACAAAGGACTTATTCCATTATTTCCAACTCGCACTCCGAGTGTAGTCTTGGTGGAGTAGTCGAAACGACCAAATCGGATACTACAAACGTGAAATGCCAGCTACAATCCAACAATAATGCGGCAGTCGAGCCCTGCTCGAGTCAAGATCACGCCCTCCCCGGAATGGTTCAAAAGGAGCCAACTCTTCTCAGTTTAATAAAAGAAGCCCGAGCAGTGGGCATGGTTCCTGAAAGCTTGCCAGAACCTTCGTACTCATGGACTAAGAAGGAAGCATCAGATGATGATTGCATGATTCTTCCAAATCGTCGACTAAAGCAAACAGAGATGAAGGAAAAAGCGAGTCGCAATAACGGCGAAAAGGTAGAATCGGGACTCGCGCCGCCCACCCTACAACCGAATCCACCGAGTGTTGCCAAAGGACACGATACATCGTTACAAAGCGTCATTGAAACTATGCAAAAATTAAAATCTGCGGAGATGCAAATTAAAGCCCTGAAAGAAGCACAGAACACGCGGAAAAATACCATCAGCACAAATCAGGAAGTAGCAGCTACCGTGCCTATAGGTAAGGCACCGGAGGCAACTGTAGTCGACTATAAGGAGCGAAAACGCTTACGACGCCAAAAGGAGCTTGAGGAGGCTCGGAAGGAATTGCTAGAAGCGACAAAAAGTGCTCTGAAGGATCGAATTGCATTCCACATGAGAGAAGAAGGACATACACCCCCGGACGTTCATGGATCTACATTAGCTAATGTTGAGCCAAAGGAACACTTAACTGACGCTGAAAAGTTTTCATCCAAACCTCAACCTGATGTATCGCATCCACAACAACCGTTCGTGGAAGAACCAAAAGAACAAGCACCACTTGGGTCGGGTTCAGCGAATTCAGGCAATGATGCGTGTAAAATTAAATCTAATGAAGAGCTAATGAAGGTAAAGGAACTAAGAGAGGAACCTCCAAAAACGGTAATGTTTAAAGTGGAAAAAAGTAAGAAGAAAAAGGCCACACAAGAGTTGAAGGATGCCGAGATCAGTAGCATAAACCAAAATACTCTACCGCAAATAACAAACAGCACTTCTGATCAGATGTATGTAATACCATCCACAATGACTGTACCGATTCCTATCGGAATGCCACAATACGGAATAGGACTGCCTTTTGGGTTACTGCAGCAAGCTCAACCGCAGCTGGTTCAATTTCAGAATCCTTGGGGGTCAACGATACCAAATGCTATGCATTCTTTAGTGGAGGGAAAACCAGGGCATCCTCAAGTAACCTTCCTCGGTGACAACATCACAAGACGAGGATATCGTAAAGTAATTCGAAAGTCAATGAGACGAGTGTGCCACCCATTTAACAAGTTCTCTCCTGTTTGCTCAAGCAGTTCTAGTTCGACCAGCAGCAGTTCTTCCCATTCAACGTCACAGTCTTATTCGCAGGATTCCTCAGAGGGCTGTAGTTGCAGAAGCAGAGACGATGAGAGTGAAAATTCCACCACGAGTACATCAACAGAAATCTCGCGTTCCACGTCGCCTTGTTCTTCCCTTACATCCAATTCGACTTCATGTTCTTATTCATCGGGTTCATCATCGTAAAACGACAAGGAAAATCGGCACACCCACGTTTTCTTTTTTACCAACACTGAGCATGTGCAAACCCACCGGTTTCCGTCTTGTTGGTAGCTTAAGCGAGTGAGCGAAAAATTATGTTCGACAAAGTTATGACACTATAGAGGCCATGAACGTCTTCTGCTTATATGGGATATGTGCACGCTGTTAGGCAAACCCACAGCCTTTAATGCAGTAATTTATAGGGCAAATATCTCAATTACAGCAGCACCTTGAAATCTAGGCTTAATATAAGGAGGCAAATACAAACACCGCAGAAGTGTACGTTTGTTGATTGGCAAGGACGACATGTCTTTACTGAACTTACGCAAAGTTTGGTCACTTTATGCTATCTGATTCAATCAAAATAATCTGCAAATGTTGCAGACCACGAGGAATGGTTTATAGCGGACTGTATCACGCATTTCCGTACAACCACACGTAAAACGCTGCAAAAAAGTCCGTCGCTCATTCAGAGCTGAAAGATAACTGACGGTTCAAATGCGAGTTTATCACAAAGACCACTGAACGAAAAACCTCACAAAAGACATTAGGAATAAAAACTGAGTCATCACTGTATCTTTTGAACATTATCAACATGATGAAAGGAATAAAAGCAAAAAGGCAATTTACAGTCCTGATATCAATTACGACGATGTTTCTTCTTTTTCTGTTTCGATTTAGAAGAATTTTCACTTTCTGCAGGAAGTTTGCTTAGTTTACGCAGAAGCTTCTCGCGTTGGCGTTCTGATAAAGATTTAAGGAATTCCACAGTCAGCTCGTGTTCTACGGCGTCAGGGTCCAACCCCTGACAGTTAGACAGTGCGCGCTTGGCACCATAGACAACCTCATTTAGGCTCGTAGACTCGGTTGTTTTCTTAAAAGCTAGGCCTTCCTTGCGAAGATTTTTCTTGGCGCCATCAAGTGAACGCAAACTGCCGGTGGTCGGTTCTTGCGTAAAGGATTGTCCATACAAGGGGCAAGTTCGGTCCGTGTTAAGATGCCCCCATTGTTTACATCGCATACAACGTACGTTTCGTACCTCGATGCCAAACGGTTGATCTGTGACATCAGAGGAATTCTTGCAGTAGCTTTCACGAGGAGCGTTATACTTGCGCTGCCACTCAAATTTCACATCGTTTTTCTCTGGTTCTTTTTCCTTAAAAAAATTACTGAAAATAAAAGTACTTACCGGCTCCATCACGGCAGGCTGATCATACATCCAAGCCAAGCCTAAACGAGCCTTCTCATCACCAAGCAGCACCCGGTTCTCCAGGACTTCCTGTTCCCGACGATATTGAGTGAGCCTTTCTTGTTCTCGTTTGCTATCAAACTCCTCTTTCTGTTCTGCCATCCATTTTCTTTTGATATTTTCGAAATTTGTAGGATGGAAAAATTTCTTACACATATAATTATTGTATCCCTTCCCCATCTTCGAGTAAAGCAAAGGAACCAAATGACGCGGGTCGTTCCTGACTTCGCAAATTGATTAATAAAAGAGCAAAGACAAAAAAATTAAGTTAAAAAAGTACTTATTCTAGGTTTAAACGAATCTGCTTTAAAAAAAATTACGAAAGCCAAGCAAAAGTGTTAAACAAAAGTATTCATTGTCGGTCGTGAAGGGTTTGTCCGTCAAATAGCAACCGTCAACCTATGTACATGGACCTATACAAAATCTGTTTTCGAAAATAGTACATTACATTGCGTTACTAATGCCACCATTTTTTACAAAACCTGCGATCAAGTAATTGCATCTATGTTTTATTATAATTAACTTTAGCCCGCTTTAAAGTTAATTTAAAAAAAAAGACCTACATTGTCACAAATAACACTTCCTTGGTGTCAGTCATTTACGGTCTTGCCATGAGCTTAGCGAACCTTCTGTCTACGTGTTAGAGTAGGTCTCGGGCATTCTGCACAAATTAGGAGGATTGAAGAACCATGACTGATGTCTGTTTTTAACCAATAGGGCTTGAACAAAGTTAGAAAATAAAATAGTCCGTTCAATAGACAGCACGAGAAGTCCACACTAGAATGAACGTGGATTTTATTGATACACTGGCGCTTAACTGCTACACCCTGAATCGTCTGTGTGCCTCATTTCGCCTGTGTCTGTGATCGGTTCCTTCGTCTGTTCAAGAAATAGAAAAACGGCTTGGAAGTCTTATATTTACCGTCACTGTCATACTAGCCTTATCAATTCATTCATTTCCATTGTTTTGCAATTCTGTTCATCAAAACATTCTCCCGCCTACCATCCACATAGGTTGCCTTTTCTTGTCTTAAATTTTTGCTTTGAAATTAAAAAAAGGTTTAGTATACTTTAATTTTTGTTCGTATTGTACTATTTCTGCTAATGAACCTTTTTATTTAAATATGTAAATCGTCATTGCATCCGAGGGTAAAATTGACTCTCAAAAGTCGATCACGACATTTAGCAATTAAATTATTAGTCAAGAGGATTCACGTACCTAGTAAAAGAAAAATACAGGGATACAAACTGCTTTGATCTGCTATTCATTGGGTCTATCAAGTCCTAGAAAAGCAAATTTATACGGTACCTGGACTTATTATCATACTTCGGACTAAAGCATCCACGTGAAGTAAGCAGTAAGATTACTGTTAGGAAGCCACTATTGGAATTTGTCGTTAGTGTTGGGAGTGATGGCGGCGGTCACTATTTGGGCAAAGTATATGAACTATTAATCAACCAATTAATGTGGGCTTCCATGGATTGTGTCTGGATCCACTAGATATCTTAATGGAAAACGGACACCATAAGTGCGTTTGTGTGCATATTTCCCCTAAAATAGTGCTACCTATTGTTATTAGACTCGGATCTACCTTAATGATTCCACTACGTGAACCACTCAGTGTGACGTACATGTGCGATACCAAGCGCCAAAAGGGAATGACCGAGTCCTCAGGGCTCGTGTTAGGTGCATCACTTCCAATACTTGAAGTAACTCAGTATTACCAAAAAAAATCCTGTAGGTTGTCACCGTTTCCTAGTCAATACTACTTAGAATCAATTTCACCACAGTTTCACTCCATTTTGGCACGAGATATCGGACAAATCATTATTCGCCCATCGGCAGGGGGTAATTCAGAAAAAGCGCGTCTCAGAGCCACTCTAGTAAGGCAGGTGCCCATAAAAACTAGTGGGGCTTCAGTCCCAGGAAGCTAGCGACACATCATAAAGAGGTGTTGATGCCTACCTGCTCAAATGCTAACTGCGGTGCGACACACGACTCTCATTGTTGCAAAAGAAGCCAACAAACGCAGGATGCGACCTGCAACGCCCATAAAAGAAGGAAATACGCATTCCAGAATTCCCAATAGTAGCAGTTATCAAGTATACTAATTGTAGTGGTAATTGTGATCTCTATAGCACCGATTTGAGTACCTATGTGCTAAAAGGCAACGCACATCGCCAAATGGGACAGACTTTAGAGGGGTACCTGAATACTGGCAATAAGTATTCCATCCATCATCATCAAGACCTATTATTAAGCACATTTCTTCATCTGCCAAAATATTCCTTTGGTAAGCGTGCAACATTCCAAAAAGGTTTCTGTATTAATGTTACAACTAATGCCTACCTGGAAAAATGAAAAAGTTCATAGCTAAATTGAGCTATATAGAAAAGTTGTACTGGTAGATCTGAACCAGAGACGCAACGTGAACTGACCAAGAATGATTAGCATAGGCACAGTACTTAAGAAAAGCTTAAATACAATTTTAAATCTAAAAAGTCGAGTCAAGTCTTGCAGCTTGATTCTGTACGCGTCCAAAAATCTTGTTAGGCGGAGACCCGATTATAAGGTTGCATATGGCCTTTCGAGCAACCGCGATTCGCTCATTGCTGCCAAGGATGTGAATGGTTTGATCGGCCACGACAATACGCGTCCGGGTAGCATTTTCTATTGATAAGCGCACACGACCGTTGGCACCGCAGATCCGACCCACGGCCCGTGCCATGTGATCACCCTAAAATTAATTAAGCATACTTATCCAAAATGAAAATGGCAATGGTGTATGACTGATATCCGAAAATCACCTACACGTTTCCAAGCACAAAACCGAGTGCACTTTAGAAAGCACAAAATACCAGATGAGTACTTCATTAACTGATTAACAACATTTTCAACTTCAAAAGGACCCACTAGAAAATCTCCAAGATTTAACTAAATTATGGTCTATAGTCGAAATGGCGATCCCGAGTACCTATGTTAGATATCTGATAAGGTGTCATACCGATGGCTAGTGAAGACTGAGTCCACTAGTTGGTTATGCAAGAAAAAACGTCAAGTATAAATTTAAAAATTAAGTAAATATCTGGGAATCTAACCAATTAATTATTAATCTCAGGATGTGGCTATAATTAGCCACCATAAGGTAGAGGTATTTACATTAAACGATCCTTTATTCAATTTCCAAAACGGCTTGTGTATACTAAATGTAACGCTGAATGCAGCAGCCAACTACGAAGGTCCGAAACGATACAATGAAGTTAGCGGTGACATTCGCGACGAATAAACAAATCATTACATTGGCCAAATGCGCAGGCGATTAGCTACGCCGGCGTAAATACAGAAAGCTGAGAATGTGCGTCAGGCAACAATGCTTATTAGTTTCTAATCGCAAAGAATCTACAAAATGAAATTAGCAGCTACAAGGGGTATTTTTGTCAAATTAATACACACACACGCGACAATAGCATTTGATTGGCCTTAAACACTTGTAGTCTGTACAAAGCGATTAGTACAACAAGCATTTGAACTTACCCGAAGGCGCTGGCGAACGTCCGAGATGTGGAAGCTTTCAACATATATTCCATCAATACGCACAATAGCAAGAGCGTCTTGAACTGTGAAGCCTTTAATAAACGCTGAGACGAAATCAACGCCTTTATGAAGATGCTGTGCATCAGTTGTTTCGGGTGAAGTACGCAGCATTACTTTCCAGTGCCTTTTACTTGTTTTAACACAGACCATCAGTTTCAGCTGCTTCGTCAAAATCTAAAGGTTTACGTTAAAAAGCTTTGCCAAAACTTAGGAATGACATTGATAACAAAAGAGAAAAAACATAATCTTCGACATATGCAAATAAATCAGACAATCTGAAGAATAATATGTGGGAAAAAAGACCTCAAGATACGTTGTGCGCGATGCAGTTTTAAAATTGATCCAAGGTGCCTGACGAATTGCTCCCTATTACTTAAATAGCAAAGTGAAAAGAACATCCGTATAAGAAAAACAGATTAAACAGACTTCCGAGACACTCGTGTGAACACCCGTTTGCGATACCAGAAAATAATTGATTTTTCAGAAATCTTATAACGCCAAAGACTAAAATGAAATACCTCAGCTATTGTTTTCCATGAATCCTTAAGTGGTGACCTACGATTTTGCGGTACTAAAATGGTTCTGATTTCAGCCATTCCGGAGAACGTCGTGAAGCACAGCAGCGTAATGTGGTGTGGGGTGGCGTGGTGTGGTGTGGCGTCGGATTAGGGCGCAGACATATTGGACCACCTGGCCTAAGCCAATCCCGTGTCTCTCTGCGATCCAATGGCATGCGGGAAAGGAAGGCAGCCAACCAGAGAAGGACATGGATGAAATGCAGTATATAATGAGCGGCGTGGCCAGCGCGGTGGACTCGGATGGAAGTCGCCTGACGCGTGGCCCTGGCTTCTGATTGGTCAATAAAGCCTGTTCAGTTGTACCAGTCTTTTTCCTATTAGGGCTCGGGTATTCTACACTGGTGGCAGCGGATGCGTTCGAATAACGCGAATCGAACCCCAGCCCTTTCTCTTCAGTGGTCAACACAGGCAAAGACCCTTAAATGCCAGCTGAATTTTCATGGCGTTCATCCGATGTCCAATAAAGTGGATCCACAGACATTGCCCGGGATTATGACTTCTGCATCTGTAGAGGCATTGGCAAATCAGCGACAACGACTTGGACAGTAAAAGCCAGCTGGACTGCATCTGCGAATGGACCTTCGATGAATGATGAGTCCTTCCTGCAAGTCTACATGAGCAAGGTCCCTCGTCAACTATTCGCATGGGCCACTAACCTGCCAGATGTGGGGTGCGGGAAGTGTCGAACTGGATATTTTACCAACATTGGATTTCAACAACAGTGCGGCGAACCAATCCGGAAGCTGAGGGCAGCTTCACTCCTAAGGGGGAGGCAGTGTGGCGTCGGATCAGGGCGCAGACATGTTGGACCACCTGGCCTCAGCCAAGCCCGTGTCTCTCTGCGATCCATTGGCATGCGGGAAAGGAAGGCAGCCAACCAGAGAAGGACATGAATGAGATGCAGTATA